CGAATGGACAACAAATTCCAGTTGTCCTCTCCCACAAAACAACACAATTTCTATGATGTTTTGGTCTCATCCATTTCAGCTCCAAGACAATTAACGATGGACCCATTATTAGTTGGGTCATCATATCAGCAATACCATCCTCGGATGAACTCGTTCCTAGCCCGTTCTTATCTTCTACTCAAGTGCTCTACAACTTTCTTGATCAGCCCATTTTTTTTTCCTCTCGAAAAAGCTTTCTCCCATTGTAATTTTATCAATGTCAGCCGTTGATTCGTGATTTTGGTTGGCAAAGTTACCTTTCCCAAAAGTTGATTAATAATGTATGCGTTATCTTGCCTACTGAGGAAGGTCTACACTCTTCCAACTCTAAAGAATGTAAGAAGTTACTATTCACAAAATTTTACTCTCTCTCTCCGGGCTCTCTATAAATGTACGAGACTACTCATGCCCTTCCTACTCACTAACTCTCAAAAAAGTCTTATAATCTAGGACGAATTTCTACTTGGAAGTTCCTCAGCCATGGCGATCTCTAAGCTTTACATAGCTTCAATTCTCATCTCGCTTGTTGTTCTCCACCTGGTTGAAGCTGTTCAAATGGTACTGTTTCACCTCTAACCATTGACACGCTGTATGTTTACGTTCTTAATTTGTATGCATGTTGCTTTCTTTTTCTCTCATTTATGTTCCACCAATCAATTACTACCATTTTGAGTACTTCTAATCCTACACTGCTACACACTGGTATTTTGAGAACAGGGGAACACAGATGGTACTCCAGGCAGCTCTTTCGTCCCAAAAATTGGTATTCAATAACCTTCTCCTTACATATATTGAGTTGTTTTCTTCAACGATTGTGTCTTAGTATTTATATTAAAAAATATTATATTGTTGTTAAGTTGAAAGCGGTTTCATCTAATATGGAAATTCAAAACTAATTATTTTCAAACTAGGTTTTATAATATAGCAGTGCTCATCTAAATTCCACATATTTTGCAGACTGTGGAGCTGCATGTACGGCCAGGTGTCGGTTGTCTTCAAGGCAGAACCTATGCAAGAGAGCGTGTGGGACTTGCTGTGCCCGTTGCAACTGCGTGCCTCCGGGAACTTCCGGTAACCAAGAGGTTTGTCCCTGTTACTATACCATGACCACCCACGGTGGCCGACGCAAGTGCCCCTGAAGCAACCAACGCTTATGATGGCCGGTCCTGATCAGTAAGCCAAGGTTCAGAGGTTGTGAAAAGACGAGTATATACGGTTTTTTTCTGCGTAAAAACTATACTGCAGGTTGCTATTGTCATGTAATACGCGGACACAGGTTATGAAGTTCATGACTTCTTGTTGTAGTTCGATAATGTTTTTCGAATAGTGTTACTATTATATTGTACTCGAGTGTAAACCTCAATAAATGATTGATTTGATACATAGTTGATTTGATACCTGTCTGACTCTTTTAGAATTTATTGAAAAATAGTGAGGTGTGTCGTTCACGAGATATAAATAATTAATGAAAATAAATTCTATATATAGTACTCAAATTATAATTTTTGTGTCAATTATAACTTGTTAAATTTTTTTGTATCAATTGTGCCTCTAGTCTATGTAATTGTGTCAATTAAGCCCTTAATCTATATAATTGTGTCAATTGAATTTTCTTTCCTTTTTCTGTCATGTAAATGACACACTAATGGTGATAAATAGAAAGGTTTAATTGATATAATTAGAGGATTCAGATATTTAATGGATATAAAAAAATTAAGAATTTAATTGATATAAAAATTATAATTTAAAAATCATATATATAATTTATTCAAAATAATATATACATAGTGATATAAAAAACGTGGCCTGAACTGCCCATTTTGAGTCATGGCATGCCTGTGTACGTGCCTAGGGTGTTGGGACACGACCCATGGACGTGGCTCAGCTTATTCCTATGCTCGTATCGTGCTTGAGGTCGTAATTGTGCTATAATCTGGATAGTATTTGTGCTTGTGTTGATGCTTGGCCCATGTGACATGCGTGGGCTAGAATTGCAAACCCAGCGTGACACAAAGATCATGCTAGTACCTGAATTTGACCCGTAATGTTTGAATGTTTTTGAGGTGGGGGGTTGGATTAATTTTAAGGAAAATTGGAAAGAAGTACACCCAATTAAATTTAATTCTAAAAAAGTAAATAAAAAAAAATTGAATAATTAAGTCCTTAATTTTGATATTTAGTTGTATCTAAATACATTATTTGAATTTTACTGATTTTTTGTGATATTTTTGTCCTTTATTAATCAATGTGTATTGAATGCACCATTTTTTTTTGAAAAGTGATGCATTAAACATCTCTTACTTTTATGGAAGAACTTTAATATATATATATATATATATATATACTTGTTTGAATTTTAACATTTGTATTTATATATATATATATATAAAACGTATATGCATATAAAATATATTTTAATGCACATTGATTTATGTGTTATATATATATTTTTTGTATGTATTTATGTATGTATATACTTGTTGTTAAATCTCTTATCTAAATTTTGAATTATCTTTTAATATACCTTGATTCATGCATTTTTTTTTTTGAAAGTAATTTTTTTTCTAATTAATTTAATATCCGAATAGTATAATAGTGTAACAAATTATTTACACAAAATATTATACTATTACATTTTGTCAAGCATATAATTTTATTCAAAATAATACATCTCCGTTTTGAATTTATTATCACATACACAAAACTATTGAACACTGTTTTTGTTAAAATGTATTTGTTACATTGTTATTGTTACACTATTACATTATTCGGATATTAAATTAATTTAAAAATAAAACCATTTTCCAAAAAAAAAAAAATTGGCTTGAATCAAAGTGCATTAAATATAATTTGAAAACAAAATCACTTTTCAAAAAAAAATGCATAAATCAAGATGCATTAAAAATAATTTAAAATTTATATAAGAGATTTAACAATAAGTATATATATATAGACACACACACACACATGTTTACATGTACTCCCTCTGTTCCTAATATCTCTTGTTTTACATAATTTTTTTTGTTCCATAATATCTGTCGTTTTATGAAACTAAAACATAATTAATATTTTTTCTTCCAAATTTACCCTTAATTTTTCAATGCATTAGATTAGGTGGAAGGTAAGTGTCTTTCATATTTTTTTTCTTTCCCAATACATATTGAATCAGGGTATTTTAGTCTTGTGTAATTATTTTTTACTCATATTACAGCTATTTAATAGTTTCCTTAATTTTTGTGCAAAAATCTTAAACGACAGATATTTAGGAACAGATAAATTTTTAATAAATACATATGAATCAAGGGGCATTAAATACATATTTATATGTATTAACAAACACATATGAATCAAGGTGCATTAAAGATAAAAAAATTTGAATTAAATTATCCTAAAATGAGTATATATATATATATATTTTGGGAGGGGAGAGAAGAAAGAGACTTGAACCCTTAATCTCAAGAAGATAAAACATTCATAAGAAAGAGAAGTATCATTGAATCAAAGGTTCATTAGTAAACTTGTAAAGAAAAACGAAAGAGAAAAGAAACCCTATATTTGCGTATATGAAATTCAGAAATAAATCTTATTTATACCTATATTTGATAAATAAAATATACACATATGAGATCTATGAGTTAATTATAATTATAACAAAACATTTATCGTATAATTGACTAAATTATCCATTGGTCATATATATGGAATATTTTATTAGAGATAGAAAGATTATTTAATGAGATCAACCCAAACTAGCACATATGAAACCCACCTTTTTTGAGTTTACCCAACCACAAGTATGTGGATTTAATATTTCGGCCTATTTACCAGTCGAATTATAATTTTTGAGATTAAAAATTTTAATCCAGACATGAAATTAAAAGATCCATCTCTAACTATTTTACTTAAATCCGCTATTTCAAACCCACTCCATCAATCAAACATATGTCACAAGTGTCTTCCTACGTTTTGCATTAGCACTTCTAACTGTGTCGTGTCACATTAGTTCAGTGCATTTTATACCTCTAATTATACACAATAATAATATTTTTTGAGGTTTAATTTCAACACCCAATCAACTATTTTATTCAATTATTTGATTAGACCTTAATTCACAAAAAAAATAGAATTTTCTATCCGCAAAACAAGGTATATCATTTAATACGGTGGACCTGCCAAGCACCTCATGGTAGGCGATTGAGCGCTGTACATCATTACATGCATTATAGTGGCATCACATCACATGCCGCCAATGGTACTATTGTCTTTAAGACCTTGAAGAAGGCTAAATTGGTCATTTAATTCATTCTCAACGGAATTGAAAATCGGTGTCACGCTGCACACATGACTCTGCCTCGCCGAGTTACAGAGAATCAAATCATCACATACACCCCCCGCCGCCTCCAAATAATCGCCGTACTTTTCCCCAACATAATCGCCGATGAATATTCTCCGTCGTCGTCATTCTCAGAGCTGTCAGAAAGATCAACATTGTTTCCAAACATCGGCATAAAATCTCACGCACCATCCAGGGTCAAGATGAATATTCTAGGCCCCTACGATTTCTACGTGTAGATCACGCGCCTTCCAGGTGTTATTGCTTAGATTTCAAGTTCATAACTGTTTTCCTCACTGCGTAGCGGAAAATGATATACCATCTGACGGTAAAAATGGCCCTTGTTTTCGGATGGTAAATCGTAGCCGTCAACGTCATGATTATGCTCCCGCCACGTGGAAAATACACGTCGGCGTGTTATCCGAAATGCAGAACGGCTGGGTTTGTCCGACGTGGTTGACACGTGGGACTTCACTGACAGGTGTTGTACGTGATAATCAAACGGCCTTGTGAGACCAAAGCATTTAAACCGTCGATAAAGGATGACGTAAGCCTGCGACTCTTGTTATAAGTTTGAAGATTGGAGAGAGAGAAAGGGAGGCCGTTTTGTGATGTGCCATTCATTTGCAGGCGATTTTGGAGGATGGGGAAGCTTCGGTTTTTCCGACTGTTGAGGAGGAGAGAGATTCTGAGCTCAGCTCTCTGTAATGATGTAATGTGAAGAGAGGGAGAATGTGATCGTTAATGTGTGATCTTTTGGGTTTCATGGAAATTGAAGGTTGCATATTTATACTAATTTTCTTTGCGAATTTTTGCTGTTTATTCATCAAAAAGCAGAGTGTGACTTATCGGGATTTTGATTAGTATGCTTTGTTATTGAGATGCTTTGGTTTGTCCATGCAAAATTTTAGCTGTTTTGGACTGCTCTGGATACAAAAAATGGAGTTTCTTCTTCTAAGTGTGAGTTCATCTGTGTTTTCAATGCATGTTTTCTGCAAATGGTTTTTTGGGATGGTTTTTGTAGACAATGGGTTATCAGAGATCTGAACAATGAGAGGAATTGAACAGTCTTCCATCTGCTGTGGGAATATTACTATTCACGAATAATTCCATTAAAGCACTGATAGTTATTGGATTCATTGATATGAGTTTGTTCTATTAGATTCGTAAACTATTGAATATATATACTAAGTTAGTATTTTGGTTTTGTAAATAATCGATGAGATCTCACTGTTACTCTGTACATCTCATGTATTTCAACTGCGTAGTTTGTTTTTTGGCTTTTCAGATCTCTCTCCTTTATTGTTCTATTTTGTGAGTGCTTTGCGTGCTTGTGCGTCTCTCTCTGTCTCTCTCTCTCTCTCTGTGGGTGTGGGTGTGTGTGTGTGTGAGTGAGTGCTTTATTTCGTGAAGAACCCGATTCTCTGAACACAAAGGACGAATTCACTTTTCTTTCTTCTCTTTTAACAACCTCTTCTTTACTCTTTTTGTTTCTGCTCCTTCACCAGGTATTTCATTTCTCCAGTCTCGAGCAAGAGCCCCTCCCACTCAATATGATTCCAAAAATGCATGCCTACAAAGAATGAGAAAGCCAATACACACAATACGAGAAAGACGCTCACAGATATCTCGCAACTAAGTATCTCTCTCTCTAGAAAAATAGTATATGCTCTTAGATACAAGTAACAAATAAAACCCAAAACCCAGTCCCCAACTTTCTCGCCCCTCTTATTTTCCGGAACTTTCTCGCTCCTCTTTCCGGCAAACTTTACGGTAAAAACCAAAACCAAATGCCACTCCAAGCAATCGGTCCTTTCGCCTTCCAATTCGGTTTCAGTTCTTCACATTTCCTTCTGTTTTTCTTCACTTTGTTATCCGGTTTCTAAAAATTCTGAAATTAAAACCTCTTGGTGTAGAGAAACAGAGAATGAAGATCTGAAGAGTTCGTTGTCGGACGCATTTATTGAATTGGGTGCTAACAATTTGGGGCCTAGGAAGCTGCTTTCAGCTGGGTGTCAGTATTGTTATTGTTATCGCAGAAATGGACAAGACTCGGGACGTGAGGCGTGTAGCGACGAATCGGTTCTCTCCTGCTGCGAAGCGACAGATCATTCATCCATCTGGTAATCAGATGGTGATCATTAATTGTCGATTTTGAGGCTTTTATGTTACTAAGCAACAAAACTCATCAACGGTTGTTGTCTTTATCTGTGATTATTCTAATTCATATATTTGGGGCTTTGTGATAGAGTTCATAGGTAATGAGTCTGGTGTTATCTTCTTTTAGGTTCTTCTTTGTGTTTCTTTCTCCTTCTCACATGATTTATATCCTTTCCCTTGTTCTCATATGAATTGAAGGTTCCGGTGGTGGTAATGGGAACGCCGTAGTTTCAGAGAAAGCGAACAAAAAGAAACTCAGAAGATTGAGTGTTGTTGGTGGAGTTGCTTCGAACAACGAAGACAGCGACATGGTTCTTGTTGGGTCCGATGGTGAAGATGAACGTCGTCCCACTGGTATTAGCAAAAGAATTAAGTTCCCCAAAAAGGTAAATGATTTATAATTTTATATGGATCAGAGTATGAGCTTTCATGTATGCAGTACTTACTTTGGGGTCAATTGTTTGAGCTAATTGTTTTTTTTTTTTTTGATTATGACAGTATTTTGATGACTGCAATACTGTTGATCATGCCTCTGTTCCTCGAAAGCTACGGTCAGGTGTGCAATTTGTGAATTGAAATGGAAAAAATTTCACCACCTTACTTTTTTCTTGTTTATGGGAGTGCTTGTTTGTTTTTTGCGTAGATTAGTTGGAGCCCACAGATTTTAATTCGGTTTTCAATTTGGTGGGTCTTCTGGGAAGTTTCCTTATCTTTTGTGCTTTGTTGTGATAGATTAGAACTTCTCTCTTTTTGCTTCTACTTTCTTTTTGTAGCGATGGAGGAATATGCGTGTGTATTTTTCAATTAGAAATATAGAAGTATGTGCTCTGCAGTGTTCATTCAAATACCGTATAACCTAGAAATTTGAGTGGAAATTTGACTTTTTTATAGTCTGATGAATGTTACTTTTCGAATAAAATTTGAGGCTTGAGTTTTGTGTGAATCAAATAGCTTTGTTATAAGGAAAGATACGCTCGAGGAATGTTTTGAGCTAGTAGTCTGGTATATTTTGTGTTTCACATTACAGCCATGAAGAAGCGCAATCGCGAATCCGATTCACCACCTTTGCCAGATTCAAATAAGACAAACAATACGGTCAATGGAGTTGAATTAATCAGAAAGGATGACACTAAGAGATCCAAATTGAACATGGTAAGTCATCTTGAGCTCCAAACTTCTGCTTTTATTCTTTATCCAACAGAGCATGTTAATGTTATGAATTGGCTTCGCTTTTGCCACAGCAAGGAGACTCGGGGGGGTCTCCAAGTCATGCCACTCTCGGGCCAATCACCAAAGATGAGGAAGAAGTAGTGGAGACCTTGTATGCTCTAGCAGGAATGTTCCCGGACACGGACAAGAGTGATGGGACTAAATTGGATGATGGTGCATCAGAAGCAAAAGCTCCGGTTTTGCTAGAAACAGAGAATTGTAAACTTGCATCTAAAGGTTCGTTTCATTCTAATGTTGGTGAGTTATTGCTATTCTTTTTTTGGTTCTGCTGTTTTAAACTGTATAGTTTGTTGCATTCTGCAGTTTCCAAAGAGCAGGAGGAGATAAAGACATTCTGCTCCACAGCTAGTGGTGATGTTACCAAATATTCTACAACTGGAGAAGCTGTGAAAGTCCAATCTTTGAATGAAACATCACTGCCTACTTTGCCAAGCAAGCAGTTAGCTATGGAGTTTGATAATTACGTTCCTAGAGTAGATCACCCATTAAAGTCTCTGTTATGCGGGACTGAACTTTCTACTGAAAGATTGTCCTGCAATTCTCTTGTTTTTGGTGGCCCATCTGAGCTAAATCTGAATAGCAGGTAGGTATTTTTCTGCTTTGGATAATTAGTTTTGTTCCGACTGCTTTATTACGATTTTTCTCTGTTATTAATAATCTGGCAGGATAAAGCAGCCTGAACCTGAGGGAACTTCAGTAAGTGGAAGAAAAGTAGAGATTGCATTTGGACAGGTATGCTTCACCGTTAAGTATGAGTCCCATGTTTTATAAGCAAGCAAACCTATGGTATATGACATTGGTTTTGGACTATTTTCAGGTCACAGCTCTTGGACATCAACATGGTCAGCAAAATAACATCACGGAGAGCACAAATAATGGTACACTTCTCAGATGTTTAGCAGTTGGTATTTGATGAGTGTTGGATGCTTGCTTATTCTGCAGAACATTGTATCTTGTTTGTCATTCATACCAATGACATTGGCATGAACTCGATCTTTTGATTTGTAGATTCAGGATTGTGGCCAGGCTTATCTTCAACAGGGGGACTTGCACAGACACAAGAACCTTCCTTGCAGTAACTTTCTTTCCTAAATGTCCTTTTACCACCTTGGAAATTTAATGGCATTCACATCTCTCATGCATTAAGTTATTTCAGGTCATCCACTGCAAAACTTCCTGCTTGGTTGGGTAATGCTACTTGTGCCACGAGGCTTTATTTATCAAATAATGTTCCCATAACTGAAAAGGTAAATTTAAGCACTGGCGCTCTTTTATTGAGTTGGCTGCTGTTAAGAATTTACAATCGTATCTCTATCCACAATTAGAAGTATAGACAGGCAATTGTCCAGGTTAATCATTTGCCCTTGATTATGCAGAATGATAGAGTCTCCGTTAATGGGAAGAAGTCATGTAAGAGAGGCTCTGCTCATGTTTACATAAGTCATCTTATTAAGGCCTTTCAAACTACAGAGAGAAAGGACAGTGTGCCTATGCGGCCTACTCAATTGATAGCTGATGAAGGATCAAAGCAAGGGGCTGTTATAGCAGTCAACAACCCAAATGGGGTAAAGAATGGTTTTAATGGAGTTGTTGCCAATAGAAGCATAGTTTGTGCTGCTGCTGAGAAGAATCCATCTGAAGTCAGAAATGCTATACTTCTGCACAAGAAGCTCCTTCAAGATCAGCGGCAGGCTTCTACAATATCTGGGCTCTACAATCCAAATAAACAAGTAAGCTTAACATCCACATTACCGATGATTTCCTTTTTTACCATACCATAAGACACTGAATGTTTTAAATTTTGGCAGAGTATTGATTTCTTGTCTTTGTCGGCTGGAGGCTGTGGGGTGGAAGCTCATAACAATACTAATAAATCAGGAATTGGGATGGAGCCATTGACACAAGTTCATGTTCCTTACCTGCAACCACGTGCACAGAGTCACATGAGCATGCCTTTCTCGATGCCATCAAATCGTCATTCCTCTGATCTGTTCTCAGACCATCTTTCCGCAGCTGCAGCACAGCAGGTTATTTGCTTTCTTTCACTCCGTCTTAAAGTTTGCCTTGGAGTATGTCACCGAATGAGGTTTTGCAACTAACCCTTTCATATTGATTTTTCCTCCTGCCTGGTCACAAGCCAGTATTAATCTTATGTTGTGGTTGATTACAGGTCCATATGCAGCTGCCTCAATATCTTGGGAGTACATTTTGCAGCTCTACTCATTTGGGTGCCACAGCCTCACCAAATCAGCAGCAACTCCAGTGGACTCAGCTTACATCTGAGTACAAGCTCGGTGGAGTTGCTGGGCCTTATATTCCAAATTGGCAAAATGGGGGACAAGACTCGCCTTCCCTAATTCAATATGCTCATGCTATCTTTCCACATCCCCGTTCTTCTCTAGACTTACTCGGCCCCAAGTATGCACCAATCTTGCCACAACAGCAGCAGCAGCTTATAGCAGTTAATACTTCATTGCCCCCTGCCAAGGTGAAAAGGCAACACCATCCTCTCCCTCATGGTCCGGGCTATGAAGGAAATGGGGGTGGATTCCATCCTGGCAGAGCACCATCGATGCAATTACTCTGCGACGAACATATTTAAATTGGAATGTTTTAACCAGTGATCATGAAGTATAGGGTGGACCATCTCTTCCTGTGCATATTTGAGACCAAGTGCTCCACGATGGATTGGGAAACAGCAAGCATATTGCAGTTGTGCAGGTCTTTGGTCACTCCAACAGTACCAGAAGAACATCATGAAGTGGAAAGAAAGCCTGCCAATTCTGATACAAAGGCCAACTGAATCCCAACTGTGCATCATAGGTAAATTTGGGAAATTTTGTAGTGTCTGCTCTTTCGAACATATTTAAAACAGCATTTCTTTCAATTGATGGGCCGATTATAAGGCATATATGCATGGTACATTTATTTTATGGTCTTTTGGGATCAGTGGTGGGCATGGATTTTCCTCGTCTATTTCCTGCCTTGCTGTGACTACTCCACAGATGATGTTGAGTTGTGGCAACTGGATTGACTCAGTTGAAAGGAATCCGCCTTCAAGTCTTTTAAGTACACGATGACATGATTATTGCTGTTCATGAATTTGAAGATACCTTTTTGGAATGCTGGAGAATGGCCATTCAACACAATAGGGTTTACCTTGGCTGAACATATTGTAATTCATTACTCTTTCACAACTGAAAATCAGAACGAGCCCTTGATATGAGAAGGTCTCTGTGAAACGAGCACTTTCAGTAGTAGTATGAATAGTATATTTGTATTTCTATCAAGAAAGAGAGCCATTATGTACCTCAATTACTTCAGCAGGATGGAACAAAACATTTTGAAACAGAAATGCGATGGAATGTGGGTTCATATCCAATTCTCGGTGTCGTTGCTTATAGGCATACCCAAGAACTCGGATAATCACATGATGATGTTCAAACAAAGTTAGAGAAATGCCATTCGCATCCTCATTCCCCTTCCAAACACGGTGGGTGGAATGTATACCAGAGCCCACACGTCAAACCATTGTTGATTAATCATCGTCAATTAATCGCAATAGGATTTGTGCAAAGCCTGAACAACCTATTGAGCAAAGCCTGAACTCTGCAGTGCTCTACCCATTGTTGCCAAATGCCAACAAACTGGTGTACATTACAGTTCCACAAGGTTCGGTTTGCAGAAAATTACGATTATAAAGACCAAGACAATACAAAAAGTGAAAGAATATATGGATCAACCTCATCATATTTGCATACAATCTCATCCACGTGAGAACCGTTTTTGACTTGATTATGAACACCAAATGCGCAAAATTTTAAAAACAGAAATTCATTAACAAATAAGAAAGAAGCTCAGTCCTATTACGAGTAGCATTGGCCGAGAATGGCTCAGAAAATTTAAGCACGTAAACACTATGCTGCCAGATAAATCTTCACTCCTGCTTTTCCAATTCACCCATTCTCTCGATGATCGCCTGCAGGTTAAAGTCAAAACGGCAGTGCAACAGCAAACATAAATTTTTGGAAAAAGATTATAATGGCATGGGACTGAACACAATAAGAACTTATTCCATTGAGTGTACTTTAAGACAATGCTCAGTTAAAGCCGTGAATTAGAAAGCAAACAAATGATCAGGTTTGCGCCGCCATTATAGTTCTGGAAGCAACAGAAGTGAGCTACAATGGTGACCAAATTAATCTGCATATTGTTACCAGCAATCAAGGAAGAAAAGGAATTTTGAAACTTTTGGTTCCACACACAAGCAGAGAATAATAAAAATTCTGATACAATCCATACCTTCTTGCTTGTTTCTTGGAGCTCCCCAGCAAGAATGAACTCGTCTAGTATAAGATATACCTTTTGCAAAAAGACATCAATCAGACCAAGCAACACAGAAAAGATACAATGCACGGTAATAATGTCCAACCAATCAAAAAACACACCAAACACACTGCGATAAACAAAATCCACTAAAACAAATAGGGTTACTATTTACTACATGGAATTTGCATGCATCTGTTGTTTCTTTTGTGAAAAGAAATTTAACCATGTACATCTTAGGGCAAAATGAAACATAGATCTCCTCAAGAGCTCCCTTGGGTTGGTAGTATAACATAATTAGCTCAAACAGGTATCATACAGCCACAATAAAGAAACAGACAATGTGACCATCACATAAGACACTACTTACTAAATCAAATTAAACGAATAAGCCATCAATATTCTCTAATCAGTTTGAGTGGTAGATAAATGTTTCCCCAACAATATCATTCACACATCACAATGCGACTAACACATAGAACAAGTGAGATATACACTTTGTGAAACAAAGATACAGAAAATCAGCTGGATATTAGAGTAGAAGGAGCTAAACAAAGTTTTCAACCCACAATTAGTTGGAGTGGGAGTTATGGTCTCATACATGAGCTAAAAAAAGAAGCACTAGTCAAATACCAGGTGGGCAATTATAAAAAGTCAACAAAATTGTTTTGCAACAGGCATAGATGCAAGTCAGGATATGAGCACAAAGCAGACTATATTTTCCCATAAACAACGATCAAATGAAATCATCAAAATCAACGAACCTTGTGGAAATTGAACACCAAATCTAGTTCGCACACGTTGCTGAAAAAGTGATCCAATATCTCCACAAATAAGTGGATGCACTCTAAATATGCTAACTCGTTATCAGTTATATCAACGCAGAGCGAGAAAAATAATCCAGCATATCGCCTGTAGATAACCTTATGTGTACGGAACTGCATAAAGACAAATATGTTACAGACTGTAAGACATCATATGAAAGATGAGATAACTTAACATTCGAGACAAATTGAGCTTGATGAAGACCAACACAAGGTCCAAAAGTACATTCCATGTCAACAACAAAAGTCTAAACAAATGTGCTTCTTTCCTAGTACAAAAGTTGGGGAATCAATAAATCATTAAAAGTATTTTTTTCAGGTAAGTAACTATTGAAATGAGTAGGAAGTGATGTACAAAAAGAGATATGTCTAGGTAGTAAACATGATTATTAGTCTGATTACAGTAAATATACCAAACACAAATCCACCCAAAACAATAAAACAGACAATGAGCTAAAGAGATCATCTTCCTGTTATTGATTAAATTGTCCTCTTTTTATCTCTCTTAAAACATAATTTCTTCAGTGTTTAAAAAATTGGAGTACAAACCTCAACGAAATTGGTAAACTTGGGATCTCTGTTCACAACCAACCGATGAACCTACACTCGCAAACAAAACCCTAAGATAAATGCCTTTAAAGCAAAGAAAATAATCAAGAAGACTGAGGGAATCCAGATATTACGATGAAAATACCTCGTACTCAACCTTGTGCTTCTCGGATTCCTCGAGAGGAATGTAATACTTTGCGAGCCGAGTCTTCCCCTGCCTGTTCTGAAGCAATATGAAGCGGATCTGCCATTTTAACACAAACAAAAAGGATTTTTCAGAGAATTAACCTGATTCAATAGTCGGTTTGATTCGTGGAAGCTTGAAAAAGAAATCATATCGAAAAGTAGAAACGAATTACCATTTTCGCAAGATCGAAGAAGCAGGAGACGACAGATTAGTGAAGATCATACAATTGAGACGCAGCTAAAGATCGAACTGTGTTCGTTTATTTCGTCTCGCGGGTAGAGAAAGAGCGAAGTCACAGCTCGGAGATGCAATGAGAAGTCAGTGGTCAGAGAGAGGAATTTGTGGGACCGTGTACGGATTAATGGCCGTTGATTACTTGCTGATTTGATTAATCCAACGATGGTTCTGAGACGTGAATTCTTTGGGACATGCCACACAATACATAAGTTGACGCGGAAATAAAAAAATGGGCAAACGATGCATATGTGTTAATTAATTCCTTGAATTAATTTTTATATCCAATTAGTGTCTAAATTATATAATTTGACTCAATTTGATCCTTTCGGCTAAATTCGCTATCAATTTTACTGAATCGTCTCATGTGCACGTCACCTGTATACTCTAAATTGTCCCAAGTCAAATTACACAATTGAACGGGCAAATTGACACACAAATTAAAATTTTTTTTTTTTATCAAAACACACAAATTAGTTCGAGGGTTGATGAAATATTTTCAAGTACTCCAAAATAAAGACACGTGTCCTCAGCATCAGTAAATTCTTTTCTATAAACACGACACTGACCTGTCGGATCACAAGTCTCTATTCTTCCGAGGTACTGTTCATAGGGATCAATGACACCTAGTACGTTACATACCGACACGTATCCCTCGAGGTCGTATAGGGTACATCGGTCCCTACATGTACCAATCCCCCTCGATACCGAGATGTACCCCCTCCAGGATGACATTCTTTGCTCCTGCAGAGGCTATTGATATGCAGGTCACTAGCCTAGGCTAGGCTAGATTAGTCATCATGATCTCGTCTTACACAATTGGTGTCAGAAGGCATAAGAAGGCAGAGGACACAGCCAATAGGAAATGGACGCGCGGCATATTGTGTTACTTCAGAGACAAAAAGACCGGATGCCCTTGCTGGCACACGACTTGGAAAAGTAAGCATTTAATTACATCATTCCCTTGATGAGACAACATTTAATGCGGTAAGGCTCGAAAATGAAAGGTAATAAATGTCCTTAAGGCTGGACATTTATTACATCCTTGCCGAGAAGAGCTCATTAAACAGTCGGCAGGCCGATGACACAGCCTTGGTTGCTCGGGATCCCGAGCAGTTAAAAGAGAAGACATTCTTCATAGGAATCAGTGCGCACGTTGTCCGTATCTAATGATCACCTACTGACCATACTAACAGCAATCATAAGTATTTGAGGTATAAATACTCCTCACAAAAGGCAAGAATATATACAAGGTGAAACCTTTTCGAAAACTTATACTCAGTATTTTCTTCCTCTTCTCTCTCAAAAACTGACTTGATCGTCGGAGGGGATACGCTGAAAAACACTCCGGGCCCCTTCTAATTTGTCTTTCTTTGTTCCAGGAACCTTCTTCAACCTTACTGGATCGTTCCGTTGATCCACGAAGGTCTCCCATTATCGTTTCAGATTACCACCGGACCTCACAAGTTGTTCCAAGCAGTAGGGTTGATCACTCGACTGACTTACTCGAGTTCACCAAGAGAGAGATCTGTTCTCGTATTTATATTGTGCAAGATTCAGCACGTACAAGGGTCAACTTAACACAAATAACATAATTTAAAGATCATTTAGGTAGTTAATTTTCAACTCATTGTAATTTGTATGAAATCTTAATTTTAACTCGCATGTCGAAAAAGCAAAAGTGTGACTTGCAAGCACATTCTTATATTTTTCTTGGTTAAATGAGTTTGCAAAACAAGTTTCGATATTATCATGTTGTACTTTTTATATAAATAATGAGAGATCAAGAAATAATTTATAAAATTCTTAAAGATGGTTTAATAGTTGAGTCTAATTTTTAATATCCCAAAAATTTCAGTTTCACTTTCATCTGATACCTTTTTAAGGGCTAACAGACATGTTTTAATTCAGTTTAAGTTATAATAACCGATCGCTAAATTTGAAAAAGTAACTGACACAAGCCTGAAAACTTTATAGCAAAAAAAAAAAGAAAAATAATAATTAAGAGATTATATAATTCCTGATCCCAAAATGTATGTGTCACCATCTTGGGGTAATGAATTGTTCGTAATAAAGGCATCTGTGATAATCCTAGATTTTATGAATATGTGTTGGAATAATCATCCATGTAGAAACTTTGTATCAAAAGAAAAACTCTTATTCGATCATGAATTGTTACACATTAATATCCAATTGAATTGGGTTAAAATTAATTTGAGCGATTGTTTGAAGAGAAATAAAGAATATCAATGACAATTTAGGGGTAAAAATGATTGAGTGGAGCTTAAAAGGATAATATTGACAATTGAGAAGAAATAAATCTATATAATAAAGTATAATGAATTTGAATTTTGAAGACAAAGAGTGATCTAAATCGTTTCGTGACAAAAAAAAAAAGAATCATTTAACGGACGATGTTATTTCAAACTGTGTTGAACTATTGACGTCTCATATCGTTTTGATCTGACGTACCACATTAACTCTTTTGAAATATTTTTACTACTCAAAATTTGTAGTTTCTAAAATTGATATTTCAAAATTTAATTTCTCTAAATTTTTTCCTTAAATCAAGCAAATCTTTCTCTCTCTCATTCTTTGTATCTCTCTCTCTCTCTCCACGCTCAATTCATCCAAAAATAACAATTTTTTACAATTTTTTTCTTTGTATCTCTCAAAAATATTAGATAGTGCCTGATTCAAAAAAATACTATATCTCTCTATAGATAGATAATATATATCACAGAGAGATATAATATATTACGAAAATATTATTTTATATCTCTCTCTGAAAGAAAATTATATAATAAATATTAGATAAATAGTATATATCACAAAAATATTATTATGTATCTCTCTTTTTCATTCAAGCAATACTATAAACACAAATCATACAAATTTAATAGATAATTTTGTTCTTTCCAAAAAATCTAATTTAATAAAAAAAATATGCTTAACATATAAAATATATAAGATTAAATTTAAGTTATTGGGCAACTCAGATATCAAGAAATATATTAAAAAAAATATGCTTAACATTTAAAATATACAAGATTAAATTTATATACAAACACGAATCATAAAAATTTAATATTTAGTGAACAACAATATTTACTAAATAATCCAAATCTAAATACCTGAAAAAAATGATACAAAATTATAAGTAAGAGAAACAATACAAAATTATAAGTAATACTATGAACACGAATCATACAAATTCAATATTTAATGAACAATACGAAACAATAATCTTTACTAAATACATTTAGTTTAAGAAAATATAATAAGAATATAAATAACCGAGAAAAAGCACCACTATAAACTTGAATTATACAAATTCAATAGTCAGGTCGTATCTTTTAGAAGTTGGTTTAAATTTCCAATAGTTGTATTTGGTCATGTGACAACATCCTGTAGACTTATTTTATTTTTAGGAGTATTGTTTTAATTTTAATTTTATTAGTTATCAATTCTGTTATTATTTAGATAAAGTTGATTATAAATGTTAAAATCATAGATTTTGAAACAAAAATAGAATATTGAATATTGTCAACTGATATATTTTTTCAGATGTTTGAATTATTATATTTCAATAGTTATAACATAATTTTCGTGACGCAACAATTTAATGTGAAAATACATGTTATGCATGTAGGTTGATGATATAAAAAATCATAGTGGAATTACTTTGTTTGTCGTTTACTGTAATATTATATTTTACTTTACATTTATGTATTGACAAATATTTATAACTAATTTACGAGTTACACCGCACCTTAGGCAAAGACAATTACTAATAATATTATAACAGTGAACATGTATTAGTTTGAAGAGTAATAACTCTTAAGAAATTAACTTAATTATGGTGGCATATTTCAATAATATTAGTGTAATGGAAACAGTTAATTTTTTTATTAAGACTTTATTATTAATAATAAACATATCATTAAATTAATAAATTATGTCAATTTTTTGAGAATTCAATAATATTATTACTGATGTGGCATAGGGAACTCCAACTTATTTGCCAGCGTTAACAACCAGCCAAAATCGGCCCCACAAAGAATTGTCCAGGAAACTGAGATTTGTGGGCCCATTTCGTTGGTCCTATGGGTGAAGTGTCTCACTCCTTAGACTAACTCTCCTCTCCTAATGGGCCCATTAGATGGATAGAATCAAGCCCATACAACCACCGGCTTCACCTTTAAACCCCTATAACAGAATTCCAGTGAAGTGGACGCGAAGAAACGAAGCTCTTCCATGTTCTATATTTAACTCTCTCTTAACAAATCACTCACTACAACTCATAACTATTCGCTCTCTCTCACTCACACACACACACACACACATCAAATTGAAAGGTGATTATTGTTGCCAACAACATTCGATCCACGTTGAATTCTCCTGGTGTTGTAGGTTTGAGCATGGACAGTGAAGATGGAATGGTGATGATCAGAAACGCAGAGATCGACACAAGAGCCCCTTTCCGGTCAGTGAAGGAGGCCGTTATGTTGTTCGGGGAGAGAGTTCTCGCCGGGGAGGTCTATGCCAATAAACTCAAAGAGGTCAGATCATGTGGCTACTTAACTTAATCACTCCATAGCTTTTGCTCTGCAATTAATACAGTTTGATGCTTTCATCAATTCAATCTCTCTCTATCTATGAAAAACTGCTGGTATATCCTTAAGAATTTTCGAGTTTCCATGTGCATCCAGTTGTTCTACTTCGTACACAGTGACAATTAATTATATTTGTAAAATCTCATAAAAATTGCACTGAAGAATTAAAAATTTGAATTATATGGTTTCCTGCACATAAACTGTACGATAGTTTGCCACAGACATTGCCTCTTTTTAGGTGAAGGAATGTATTTATACAATATAATAACGCTAATGCATGTGTAGAGCTTTCGCTTTACTGAAGAATCAATTCACTTTGGTATTGATGAAGGATTCGAAATCAAATTACATACAGTAAAATAAAGTTAGCTAATTGGGTACTCATTGGAAGGGTTGGTACGCAAATACCATGAAACAAATCCTAATCCTGATAAAGTGTAATTCTACTGATGAAGAAACCTACCTAATCAACTTTTATCCAATCGGATGAATTATCATATCCTGGACAGTCTTCGTGAATCAAATTCATCTATGTCCCTCAAATCATTGGTGATCATGCACTTCATTATATAGGTGTCGGATTTTTGAATAAATTTAAAAGGTCCCAGTTTAACTCCCTATCCATAAACTAGTAATGTTACAAGTAAATATTGGGCGTGTCACAGGTACACCATGTCATCACATGATGACATGGTATTACCATCCAATGTGGACGGTTATATCATGTTAGCACCATCATTTAACCATGATTATCATGTTGCTAAATATTTTTCTCTGGCTCGATATTATTTTCTCTAGAATTAATTTGGTAAATTGTGTGCAGATGCAGAATGAAGCTAGTGAAAATGAGCAAGCCCATTCAAGGCTTGGAACTGTGACGGCTGAGCTAGAAGAGACGAAGCAAAGCCTCCAAAAGGCGCAAGAAGAGAGCATGCTAATGGCTACTTGCCTCTCTGCCTTACAAGAAGAGCTCGAACAGACGAAAATAGAGCTGCAACAGCTAAAAGAACGAGAATTCGCGAAGCAAGGAATGGAGTCGGAGATCGAAGACCTCAAATTTGTTGAAGATTCACCAAAATTTCATGTCAAAACACGAACAAGTGATGAAGGAGCTGAGTTTCAGAAGAAGAGATATGTAACTTTTGCAAACCCACCATCATTAACGCAGGTTATAATGCCACAAGCTGCTGAAGCTGTACTAGAAAGGCACCCATCACTGAAGAAGAAGAAAAAGAAGCCATTGATACCAATGATTGGAGGGATCTTTTCCAAGAAGAAAGGAAGCTCTGAAGTTGCATCATCACGAACTTGACAATCAATTTCCTTATGAAAATTATGATGCAGTTCAACTTCAATAAAGTCAATTCAATTTGACTCGGTATAAAAATCAGCCTCCAGATGAAATCAAAGTCTGAGTGAGATACTTACGTTTTATGATCAGAAAGTCATTTAATCATTAATGTATCAGTATCATAAAAAAGAGTGTCCATAGTTTCTTTTCTTCGTGTGGCATTGACTTAAAAGGAATCATTGAGCATGCATTATGAAGAATGAAACATTTTTTTCTTTGTTCACCGAATATTACTTATTATTTGCTTTTTATGTCAAAAAATCAATACAAGAAGGCAATCGGAAGAGACCAAAAAAACCAACAAACTCAAGTTTAAGCATCACATACAAAAAGGCCTAACATTTGGAGAAATAGATAAGAGTTTATCAATCAATCTGAAACTCTTGTTGCAACCACTGTAAAATTTCAATTCATTTTCTTTTTTTTTTAAGAACACACACTATGTACATCAAATTTGATGATCAAATTCATTGTTAACATTGAATTAGAAGCGAGACGGAGTCCACAGTTAATGAAGAACGGTGGTGGATTTAGTTAATAAATTTGATCCAAATAACTTTATTATTTCTCTTTCCTATTTTGTGATCTTCAAGAAACAGATGGGTTGTCAATTGATTTCATGCTCTTCTTCTATAAACAGAAGATGAGTTACCAGACCAAGATCCAGAAGAGGCCAGCATGAGTATTTATGGGCACCATTAACCCTTAATAACCTTACAAACCAAACAAACATAAGGAACCAAAAAAGTTAACAGCATCAATTTATTTTCTCAATATACAACATATTGAAGGGCAGTTACAAATAATGAAATCAACCAAAGTTTATGCACATACTCCTTGCGGGAGTACCTTTCTTTGTATGAAAGAGTTTTTGATTAAAAATCTTAATTGTACTTAATTTATTAGTCAAATTTACTATCAAATTTATTGTAGTCACAAGACTAACCGTAGATCTTAGTGTTACATAGAAACAATTACTTATTTAATGGTAATTATGGGCTTGAACAACAAATTTGACCAATAAATTTTATACAAATAATATTTTTTCCTTCTTTTTTTTTTTTGGCCCCGGGCGGGGGGTTAGTAAACCCATTTCATAACATATAGGTTATCAGACCAAGATCAACCAAATATGGCCATCATAAGGATGTATAAGCTCCCAAGCCCACTGCGTAGCCTTTAATAATAACCCTACAAACCAAACAAACTAAGCAAAATAAATAATAAATAAACAAAAACTCATATAATAAATTTATTGTTCTCCTCAATATACAACACAGTACAATCACGTGAAAACTTCTCTTTGTATGTCCAGTCTTAGCCCACAAATTAAGGAAGGGCAAGATATATCAAGTTCAATGATGAATGTAAACGAAGATGGCAAACAGATCAAACCATAACATCAGATTTCCTGGCATCAAAGATCCCCTCCTGCGATGACTTATTGAAAAACTCAATGCAGTCAGCAATGGCTTCATTGTAGTGCGAGTTCGATGAGTAATATGAGCTGCATGAGGTCTTTGGAGGGTCAGACTCAGGCCTGTCACATGACCTTCGTCTCGGAACCGACCCCACCGTCGCCTGATGAGATCCTCTAGAACTTGAAGGGAGTGAGAAAATGAACCTCATTAGAATCTTACGGAAGCGATCAAAGATCTTCATGGCAGAGAAGTTGAGCTTTGGAGAAGCCCTAGTTTGAGGGACTTGAAGATCTTCTTCACCTCTTACTTGTATGAAAAAGCTCTCCCTTTGAGACATGTACATTCTCTCTCTCTCTCTTTCCAGATAATCTAGGGGAAGTGTATCTCTATTATACGTGTAAGGGTTATAAAAAGAGTTAGGTTTTCTAGGCCTGGTTTTTTCTATGCAAGAAGACTCAATGAGAATATTTGGAAGAGTAAACATGTTGTCCCAACCATGTGACCAAATCATTTACATGGGCAACTCTTGTCCTTACCAAGTACAATAGTTTATAGAGTTTCTTTGATTATCTTCAATTGTAAGGTGAGTTCCCAGACTATAAAATTGACTCTTTCATGAGGAGTCTATGTTGGAAAAATTAGTTCGAAAGATAAAGTGAATCAAAAGTGTAAAATGCGGATTAGACTGTTCTTTTAAGACGGTTCATACTTTTTTATGAAAGAAACACAACACAGAAGGTAGAAATGCGTTGTCTATAAGATACAACGGCCCACCCTAATTGAATATTGCTCCACTCAAACCTACACAATTGAATTAAGCAAAAACTTTATACGATACTTTTTTTAATTGCCTAGAAAAGTAGAATAGTAGTGAAGAATATAGAAGTGTATATTTCTTTTCTAAAATATCTAAATATATATACAAAAAAAATATATTTTGTAATTACTTTCACATTTAATTAGATAATAATTGTTAGAATTTAATGAAAAAAGACTGTTTGGTAAATTTTAGAAATACGTATCTTTTCCGTTGATTCCACTCCTCCGTTAATCCTAGTTAATTCAATCGCTATATATATATATATATACACTTAAATATTTTTATAAAATGCTCCTTTTATTAAAATACTCTTACAGCTTAGGTGGCCCATGATTCGGATTTGTTCCCGATTTGATGCGAAAATTGAATCATACCACTATTTTTAGAATACAACCCACGGTTTGACCCAAAAGATGGTGTTTAAATGGACCATGGGTCACATTGGCCCATCACGTGGTAGTCCGTGGGCGAGTGGGTAGAGCCATGAGCCTTTGAATAGACAAGACTCATTAGGATCTGTCCGGTGGGCAGCCTTTTGGACAAGAATTTTGTTAAGAGAATTGAGTTAGTTTGTTGACCAGTCAACGATTCACGATCCAATCAATGCTTGCGCTCAATTTGAACTAGCAGGTTCATAATGTAACACCGAACCATCATATGAAAGATGGTCGCGTTGATTTGCTAAAATCCTTTTTGGGTAAAGATTAGAAAGCGAAAGAGAAGAAAAAGTCCATTGAAAGTAAAGGTGAAGAAACATGGCTCTCCAATATATTTTTTTTTCAATGGTTAAAAATTTCATGTTAATTTTAGTGTATTTCAATTAATTTTTTTTCTAATTTAGTCAAAGGCAAATATTCACGTTGAAATTAAAGTGATCATGTAGAATTCTTATGACCTAATTCTAAAGAGTTGTCAAGTTTGAAATCTAGACGTCTAGATTTATAGTTCGTCTTTTTTACCATTTTAATTATCCATTGGGACCACGTCACGAGAGATTTATAACCAAGATTCGAACTCAAGAAGTAGACATAGTAAAAAAATTAGAGTAATACTACGTGGACTTAAAAAGTAAACTTAAAAACTAGACTTGATAATTACAACTATTGATTTCATTGTAGGTCCCAACATTTATTGAAACTTATTACCTATTCAATGGTTGAGATTATCAAATCTACTTTTTAACTTTTGTTTTTAAGTCCATCTAGCATTATTCAAAAAATTATATTAAAAATGATGGAGATATTAGAGATGATGTAACTCCTAGGATCAACGACAATTGACTTAAGTGGAGGAAAGTCACTAGCATATTTATATAATAGGAGGATATTAATAAAAGACAAAATGAGTGTAGCGAAAATGAGAATACTCGGGTGGATGTGTGGAAAAATTAGAAAGAATAGAATAAAAAATGATCGTATTAGAAAAATGGTAGAAGTATCTCCAATTGAAGATAAGTTAAGAGAATATAGATTAAGATGGTTTGGTCATGTTTAACGGAGGTCGATAGAGGCACCAGTTCAAAAAAAAAAAAGAGATTATTTCTCTTAATGGTACAAGAAGTAGGGATAAACCTAAATTAACATTGAACAAAATAATAAGAAAAGATATGAAAATATTTAATTTAAATGAACATATAGTGCATGATCAAAATAAATGACGAAGACAGATTCATATAGCCGATCCCAAATAATTGACACAAGACTTGATTTGGTTTTGGTTATTCGAACTCAAGACGTCTAATATTCATTTCATTTATAATTAAGATTCCTCGGTCAAATGGTTATAGCCGATTACATTTCTAAACAATATATTAATGTATTGACTTCATAGGATGACTTGGTTGCTTGAACCTTAATATATATGCTGAGAAAGCAACATGACACTTGTGCATATACAATAAAACTCTTTAAAGGTCCTTGAAGAACCGTAGAAAACGTAACAAAATCGCATGTACTTGGTAGTGAAGAATATAGAAGTGTATATTTCTTTTCTAAAATATCTAAATATATATACAAAAAAAATATATTTTGTAATTACTTTCACATTTAATTAGATAATAATTGTTAGAATTTAATGAAAAAAGACTGTTTGGTAAATTTTAGAAATACGTATCTTTTCCGTTGATTCCACTCCTCCGTTAATCCTAGTTAATTCAATCGCTATATATATATATATATACACTTAAATATTTTTATAAAATGCTCCTTTTATTAAAATACTCTTACAGCTTAGGTGGCCCATGATTCGGATTTGTTCCCGATTTGATGCGAAAATTGAATCATACCACTATTTTTAGAATACAACCCACGGTTTGACCCAAAAGATGGTGTTTAAATGGACCATGGGTCACATTGGCCCATCACGTGGTAGTCCGTGGGCGAGTGGGTAGAGCCATGAGCCTTTGAATAGACAAGACTCATTAGGATCTGTCCGGTGGGCAGCCTTTTGGACAAGAATTTTGTTAAGAGAATTGAGTTAGTTTGTTGACCAGTCAACGATTCACGATCCAATCAATGCTTGCGCTCAATTTGAACTAGCAGGTTCATAATGTAACACCGAACCATCATATGAAAGATGGTCGCGTTGATTTGCTAAAATCCTTTTTGGGTAAAGATTAGAAAGCGAAAGAGAAGAAAAAGTCCATTGAAAGTAAAGGTGAAGAAACATGGCTCTCCAATATATTTTTTTTTCAATGGTTAAAAATTTCATGTTAATTTTAGTGTATTTCAATTAATTTTTTTTCTAATTTAGTCAAAGGCAAATATTCACGTTGAAATTAAAGTGATCATGTAGAATTCTTATGACCTAATTCTAAAGAGTTGTCAAGTTTGAAATCTAGACGTCTAGATTTATAGTTCGTCTTTTTTACCATTTTAATTATCCATTGGGACCACGTCACGAGAGATTTATAACCAAGATTCGAACTCAAGAAGTAGACATAGCAAAAAAATTAGAGTAATACTACGTGGACTTAAAAAGTAAACTTAAAAACTAGACTTGATAATTACAACTATTGATTTCATTGTAGGTCCCAACATTTATTGAAACTCATTACCTATTCAATGGTTGAGATTATCAAGTCTACTTTTTAACTTTTGTTTTTAAGTCCATCTAGCATTATTCAAAAAATTATATTAAAAATGATGGAGATATTAGAGATGATGTAACTCCTAGGATCAACGACAATTGACTTAAGTGGAGGAAAGTCACTAGCATATTTATATAATAGGAGGATATTAATAAAAGACAAAATGAGTGTAGCGAAAATGAGAATACTCGGGTGGATGTGTGGAAAAATTAAAAGAATAGAATAAAAAATGATCGTATTAGAAAAATGGTAGAAGTATCTCCAATTGAAATAAGTTAAGAGAATATAGATTAAGATGGTTTGGTCATGTTTAACGGAGGCCGATAGAGGCACCAGTTCAAAAAAAAAAAGAGATTATTTCTCTTAATGGTACAAGAAGTAGGGATAGACCTAAATTAACATTGAACAAAATAATAAGAAAAGATATGAAAATATTTAATTTAAATGAACATATAGTGCATGATCAAAATAAATGACGAAGACAGATTCGTATAGCCGATCCCAAATAATTGACACAAGACTTGATTTGGTTTTGGTTATCGAACTCAAGACGTCTAATATTCATTTCATTTATAATTAAGATTCCTTGGTCAAATGGTTATAGCCGATTACATTTCTAAACAATATATTAATGTATTGACTTCATAGGATGACTTGGTTGCTTGAACCTTAATATATATGCTGAGAAAGCAACATGACACTTGTGCATATACAATAAAACTTTTTAAAGGAACCGTAGAAAACGTAACAAAATCGCATGTACTTGGTCCTGCTAGTTAAAAACATGGCACTTATTATAGGCTAGTGGTTTAATAATGGCATATATTCCAAGCAAATAGCTTGTTTAATCTAAAGTTAGTCGTCACTTTAATGTCTAAGTTGATGAATATGCCGGTTGATGATTGGCTGCCCTAGTTTAAAAGCAGAACTTCAAAGTTAAAGTGAATGATGAGTGACCTGTTTTGTGGAAAATGATAATTGAGATACCACTTAGCTAGCCAATTAGCAATTTATCGGAATATAAAGACAAAAAAAAGGGGCAGATAGGTCAGAATAAGTGGTGAACTGCAAGTACCCAATAAGAAAAAGGAGAATTAGACTTGTAATACTACTTCTAATCTAAAAATGGATGTCAACCTTTGTGTTTTTTGAAAGTTTAGGACAAATCAACTGCTGCTAGAACTAGTAATCACAAATTAGCGCGGATTGTTAGTCTGTCTTCTTAATTGAGAGGCATGAGGTTTGAACATCGCTTTGTTGAGCCAGTGACATGTACCCATGGTTGGCTTGTAACCCTGGTGGTTCTAAAACCTCACTCTCACTCTTCACATTACACCATTGGTTTGAATTAATCACCTATAGAAAGGAGGAGAAAGGAAGGGGGGGAAAGGGGAAAAAAAGGGGGGGAGGGGGACATGGCCTCTGACAATAATGATGTGGTGAGAGACATTATTATTGTGCCTTTCATCTCTGGTACCTCAAGAAAAGGATATAATTTCCAGGGCATTTGGTACCATGATGCCACTATATATGGCTGATGTCTCATAAATTTCTCATCATTCAACGTTAATTCATTGACACATTTGTAGGAGAGAATAACAACTTTTTTGCTTCATCATGTCTGTTGTCGCAATGAGTAAGAATTGTTTAATTTTTTTTATTTATTATAGAGTACATTTGTGTCAACTATTCTATTCTATTTTATTCAATTCAATTGTTAGTCACTGTGACTTGAGTTGAGTTAAAATATATTTTTTTTAAGAATAAAAATAATTAAATCTTAAAAAATAACAGATAAAATTAAACTTACAACTTCTAAATCATCAAATGTCAAATTTAACCACCGGACCACTCACGAGTTCCCTTCACCTCCAAACGAGTCAAACTTGCAAGAAAATAATGGTAACAAACTGTGCTTGCTGGGCCCCGCCCGATATTAGGTACAACTAGACTAATGAGAGTATGGTCCTCTAAGGGAGCTTGAAGCCCACTGATTGGACTGGCACTTCATGCCCCCGTTAACACCCGCTGGATTTTATGTTCCACTTTGTGGTGGCCCACTTTTTGGATTGGTGCTTACTGAGCTTGTTGGCCTTAGTACGTGAGCTCAGATAATTGAGTGTGGGCTAGACCCCAGCTTTGCGTTTTGGACTGTGCTCTTATGTGGTCTGTGTATAACAGTGCTGGATAATTAGGCACTACTGTTGTGCTTGCGGCCCATTAATTGGACCGGAATCCCAAAACCAGAGTAAACTTGCTTAGGTGTCCAAAATATGGTTTCCCTTCCCACTCTTTTTTATTTTATTGTCATAATAGAAATGAATGGATTAGATAAAATAATTCAGTCTAATATAATATAAAAAGATAAAGGATGAGATTAAATAGAGTATTAAAATAATATGTAATTTTATCTAGTGTTTGACAATACACAACATAAATGTCAGATAGTAGTTATTTAAATCCAATCAGTTGTTTAGTTAGAGAATATTTTATCATATTAATGTTGAATTAACAAAAATACCCTAAATCAATGTTTGTTACATTGATAATAGTTTGATTTTATCAGTTGGGGGTTATAATAGTAATTATGTAGAATAATACGTTTGAATTGAATTATAATAACACTTTTTTTAGTGGTATTAAAATACTTTCATAATACAGGTCTATCAAACAAAAAATATACGATTAATTTACGTTTAATATGATATCAAATTTACTTATCAAATAAAATATTATGTCCAACTAAATAAAAAATAGTATAATTAAATATTTAATTCCTTCGTAATACGTCTATCAAATGAGTGTCGTGAAACAAAAAGAGTTGGTTGGATCACCAGAACGCGGCTTTCAAAATCCCTTAAAAACTTTAAAAGATTAAGAGCGTGATACTCTCCCATCCAACTCTCACCCTATTTTTTTTACCAAAGATAAATACCATCGTTTAACTTAAGCTCAGGCAATGGTATTTATTGACAAGATTCGGTAAAATTCGGATTAGTGAATAATAAAAATCTAGTATCATATCAGAATAATAGCATTAAATTCAGATTGAATTTAAGTAGAAATCCAATTTGTTGGTCAGTCTAGTCCTAATAGTAAGTCAACTGACATCTATGTGCATGAGTGAGTGTATTTGCACATAATAAATCGAAATAATAATGAAAACTAGGTTGGAGGGGGATTTTAACCACCTAACCAAAAATGTTTTTAATTCCATTCTTAATTAGCAAGTAACCTGGACTAAGAACACTGACTAATCATCTTCCCGTCAACGCATGCTGATTGGTAAACGTAAATCTCACTTGCCCACAGATCCAAATGACTTCCCCGAAGAAAACAAAAAACAAAAACATATACAAGTGAGATTCGTTGGATGACAGAAGGAAGTTTCTTACGAAACTAGTTAAATTATTTTTGTAGTTTCAATGGCAAGCTATTTAGTGGTTATGTTCTACAACTGCCCTTCTTGCATATATATAAAAAATAATAATCTCTCTCGGTTTGTTTGTATAACATAAACGCTTCTTTCAATGTCCAAGTGCTCAAAACAATGAACCTGCATGTGTAAGCGATTATGCCATCAAGGGAAGCTTAGCTTAGGGAGTGCTTATGGGTCAGTCAAAACAAGACTATCCCATGTGCCCTTTCATCATCTTGCTTCACCGGGATATAATTGAACCCAGTTCATTGAGTGTATTTATGTCGTATCGTGTGTGTGTCACACAGAGAGAGAGAGAGATTTATTTCTGATACAATAAAGGGCAGTGCAATTTTTATACCATTTGACTAAATCTTTGTTGCAAGCATTCATGGCAGACCCACCAGCTAATAAAGAGGGCCTTGTACATCACACTGAAGGCGATGGGTCAATGAATGAGCTTCGCAACGTCTGTCAAGGAGTCGTCCTCGCCACTTCATCATTTAGATACTTGGCTTCACTTTGTTAGTTGAACAAATATTTTCTTTTTATCACTCGCATTTATATTTGTTGGTTTGGTGTCTTTAATTACACAATATGACCAAAACTCAACATTTGGGCAGTTGAGCTAGACCATTCCTCCCTGGTTTGGTTTGGTTAAATGTAGGTCATTCACTCTCAAATTAAATTATTTATAGAGGTAAATCTCTTATACCTTGATTTCAAGAAATTGTCAAGATTTAAATATATATCGTCTGTATTTATAATTTGTCTTTATTACTATTTAAATTTTTTGTAAATGATAATAACTATTACATTCGTGCATATCTTGAATTATAACTCACAACATAAATTATAGATCGATACGATTGATCGTCAATAAATCTCACCCACATTGAATAACTTATAAATCTCTCGTAATGGTCAAACTTAGGACATCAAACTTCGGATATTACAACACTAACTATCGAAGGAACTCGTATTTCACAAAACAAAATGCAAGAAAATTAACAATATCAAATGAGTAATCAATCATATACAAGACAGATATAGGGGGTGGTCAGCTTAGTTGGCTAACCAGAAAATATAGCAATACTATTATTACAACATAAATTACAACCAAATGCGAAGAAGCTAAGATTCAAGGGCTTTATAGATCACTACAAAACACGGAAGTATAGCCCTTGGATTGAGCACATGCAACTCCTCGAGATTCGAATAAATCCCAGCATAGCCGGCTAGAGAATCGTATGAGCTGGCAGCCGAAGTCACGCTGTCCTCATCCGGTGCTGCATCATCCGCTATACGCCTCACTCTCCCGGCGACCACACGACACACCAGCATGGCCCTACGACCGTCCGTACAATCCAAGCAGTCGTGGGCCCTACCACTACTAGCGGTAGTGCGTACCCCACCAGTCTTGTTGCCTTGGAAGCCGTGTCGTATAATGGTACAGACTCCACAGCCGGGTACGGAGCCGCATAAGCTGGACGAGCCACGTGCGCCGAGCGAGCACGTGAGGGTCGTGCAGTGGAAGCGTAACAGCTCGTTTCCGTCGGCGGCGCATCTGGGGTTTTTCTTGGTGTTGCTGTTTGCACGGATCTTCACTGCGTCTCGGCAGTCCTCAAACCGTTGGATTGTCCTCTGGGTGTTATGGACCTTTAATATCCGTTCGATCTTGAAGATTGGGTTGTCTTTCTTGAGCCAGCTTGATTTGAAGATTATCTCCACAATGTTGCGACCCGAGTCATCTGGACCTAGCTCCGACACTGTACAACATCGTAGTTCATTTTACATGTTTAGCCCTCGTAATAAGGAATTGGTTCCAAATTTGTCTGCTTTTGAAAATTTTGGGTCTGTTTTTTTTTTTGGTGGGGTTCAGGGACACTTATGCCTAATAATAATGTCAACCAATAAAATCTTGCCATGTCATTAATGATGAAAGATACCTTTTTTTTTTATTACCATTAAGGGTTTTTAAGTTAATTTATGTACATTCCAATTAATTTCTTTTTTAGTTATGTTAAAGTTAAGTCATAGACATCAAAATTAAGAAATTTATGAAAGATTAAATTCTCGTGATCTGACGCTAAAAAATAAACAAGTTTCAACCTCAACATGTCTCTATTGATGGTTCATTACTATCTCCGCACTACACATTAGGGAATGCAAGGTACTTTTCATTGTTATGAAGTGGTAGCTGTAAAATTGAACTATATGGTCCATAGAAAATGAAGTGTCATGTACCCACCCACTTAAATATACATTGCAGATTTTTTTTTCATTAGCATCTCACAGTGCAAAGGAAATTAGGAATGTAAAGTATGAATAGTGATTAAGGAATTACATTTTTTTTTAAGTCAAAAGTTACTATTAATAAAGAGATGATGAAATTTTAACCCGCGATCTTAAGATTCAACAACAGATGTGATGATGATTAGACTGACCACTAAATTAAATGCTAAAGAAATTCAAACTGACGTAAATTCAAAGAAAAGAACTGAAGAAGAATATAAATCTGAGAATAATCAGACGTAGGAAAAAAATAATAGTACCAGCATGCCTAACTGCTTGATGATGTTCCAAGCTCTCAATCTTTGGGAAGACCTCTCCGCACTCGGAGCAAACACATATACTAGTTCTGGGCAATGGGTACCTGCATGTATTTACAATTTTCAATCTCAATCTCTAATTTCTTCTCATTTCTTAATATAAATCAACCGAACAATACTATGGAGACTTAAATTAAGTGTTTAATTTATTATAGTCATTGAATTAATTATAAACTTTAATGTAAAATAGAGTCTGCTTCAGGAGGTGGATAATAATAATACCTGCTAGGATCAACGATGGTGTGGCACTCATAACACCCAGAAAGCTTCCTCAGCTGCATGCCTCTAGATGACCCAGTGCAAGTTGACCCGCCATTAGATCTCTCTGAACTCGATAAATGCCTTGAAGAAGATGACCCAGCAGCAGCTTTTCGGGTAAGAAGCCCAGCTTCCTGACCCACAGTGCTACCCTCCGGCGAGTTATCTGCTCTATGAACCACCCTGGTGTTCCCATGAACAACGTCTCTGAAACTACATATAGAACTGCAAGACCCAAGTTTGGAATTCCCGGTTGGGTTCTTAGATGGGTCATGAACTCTCGACCCTTCGATCTCCTTGCAAGTGAGCAAGTTCTTGATTTGGTCCCACGAAGAGGTTTGCTTGAGCTTCTCCGGCTTTCTCTTGCGTTTGGACTTGGAGATGGAGAGTTTTTTTTTGGCTTCCGTGGGTTCAGGTAAGAAAGTGAGGAGTGCCATGAAAAGAAGAGCTAGAAAATGGAAGAGGAGTGGTGCAGAAGAAGCTACCTCCCTCTTGTTCATAGGAGAGAGTCAGAGAGAGAATGGGGTGCTTTTAAAACATGAAAGCCTTTCTTTAATGGGGGAGGGAGAGGGATCCAAGATGGGTAATTAAGGAGGCAAAGGAGGATGGTGGTGGTGGGTCTTTACTCTTTTACTTTTGTTTATTATTGCCATTCCATTTGTTTCTCTCCACTTTATAATTAACCCGTTCTGAGTTTGTCCCATCTCTGTTTTTTTTTTTTTTTTTATCCAATGTCTCATCTCTGTTTAATCACTATTATTGTAGCTGTGTACCGAAATGTCAACGGATTAAGAATTGAAGCGGATTTCATTTTCAATTTTGAAAGGAGTAATGTTACGGGAATCTAAAAAATTAATCTAATTTATTGATATAATGATATATTAAGTGATGAAGTACCAATATAATGTCAAGCTGATTCAGATTAAACTATAGTATAAGAGTAATGTTAAATGCATCTTATTTTGTTGACTTTATTTGTAAACTTTATTATTTTATGTCATTAGATTGACAATGAATTTTACTATAAATTATAACTCACTATTAATTCAATGCTTATATATGATCCATCATATAAATAAATAACGTCATTAAATTGAGTATAAATAGTATTTTTCTTAATATAAATTCAAATTGTTATTTGACTTTTCTGGTGACTCAATCAGGGTAAGGACCGGGGGAGCATTTGCGCTCTAATTCCTAAATCAATAATATGTTTTTAGATTTAATTTATTGACTTAATTTATCATAATCATCAAGCTGCTTGTGGGTGTCAACAGATACTAAATTCACTGTTAATCCAATAAATTATGTCCAAGCTTAGATTGGCACGGTGAACATGGCAACTGGAGTGTTTGGACGGCTAACTTTGGTTTCCACAAGTAACAAGTCTTTTGGGCTGTGCGCTTGGAGTTACTCTCTTGTTCCTTCCCCTTTCCCTTTCTCTAATTAAAGTGTGGATCACATAAGCTTAAAATGCTTTGCTTGGTCCCTGGAAGACACCATGCTTGATATCCTAATCAATAGGTTAGTCCAAAGCTCAATAGCTCAATACTATCCATCAAATATAATAATTTTACACTTTCTAGCTTTACAACCAAACACAAACTAGTTTTTTAATCACTTATCATTATCTGATCCAACTTAATTATTCGACAATTAATAAAATCATATGTGCTGAATCATGTGAGTCACATTAATTATATTCAAAATTTACGATGACAAGAGTCTTATGAACTAAGACTCTATTTTCTAAAAGCCTAAAACCCACTTGAGGCTCTGACAATCAACAAATGCCCATGTCACTCAGTAATCATAGCTTGAATGGTTCAATTGCTACGTTTGACTAACTTACAAACACCAGATTATTACCTCCCTTAGTCACTGCTCTTTTTTTTGGATGTGGACGTTTTCAACATTTTTGCCCTCAAACAGATAGTGCGCATACAGATTCCAAGAGGAAAAGTGCAAGAGCTAAAGAGATATAAGCTAAGTACAGGAAGAAAGAATGCTACCGGAGACCGACTTTTACGCCAATTTGCATCTTCCAATGTCTTCCCCTATCCATTCTGGTGGGATCAAATTCAATAATGTGTCCCCATATTCCACTATTTTCTTCAGACCATCCCTACCATCCCACCACCTCGATTCTTGTTCCGTAGTGCTTAGCATCATATGAAAAGGAACATGCAAAACCTAATAATTACTTAAGTGACAATACGGACAGGTCATAAATTTAGATATCATAGGTTTAAATCCTGACAACTTATTTAGTATAGATAACCTGCATTTGATCGGACCGAAAAGAGAATTAATCGAGATGTGCATAAATTGACTCGAACATTCCCTCACCGCTGAACCAAACAAAAAAAGGAACATGCAAAACTATGCCAGTACTTTTGTATATATGCGGGGCTTGAAGCCCACAATTAATTATCTATCTCCCACTTTTGTATACATGCGTGGCTTGAAGCCCAAAACTACATCTTGAGTGATTCATTATCTATCTCCTAGAATGACGATTCTTAATATAATTTGTCAATTTCTATTGGAAATTGACAGAGTTATCAAGTGCGTTTTGGGTTTGGGTTTGAATTATATGAGTTAATCTATTAGATAGAATCATTGACTATATGACTAATACACAATTTGAACTCGAATTCATTACCCGCAAGAAGTTTAGTACTAGTTGAATATATCATGATATAACTTAGATGTGACTTTTTTGTTTTTTTGCTAAGAGAATGTCCAAATTTTCGTTGATCATATTCTTGTTTGGTGATTGATCACTTTGACTTGAGCTGAGCTAGAACATCTTCCTAAAGAGACAATGATGGCTAATTTTTAGAAGGTGTGAGATTATGAAACATAGATACGGATATGAGATACGATTACAATACGATACGAATATAGCGATATGACAAAATTTAAAAAAATTAGATACCGGTACGACCAAGATACAGTTATAATAAAATATTTTTATTATTTTCAACTAACTTAATACTTATATATTTTGATAGTTCTTTACCATACAATAAAGAAAATTAATAATTCTTTTTAATTTCAAAAATATATATATCATATTGTTGTAGTATATTCACAAAGTAAAGTAATTAATTAAAAAAATCAAAACCAATATTTACCTAGTATTTAGAAGTAATTTTTGTTAAGATTTAATGTAATGAGTTTATTTTATGCTTTTTTGACATGTAATTGTAGATAATACTTAAGAAACACTCATGCGTATTTGAAGTAATACAAATTTTTTGTTAATGTACTGTATGTTAGGTGAATTTAAAAAGAGATGTTAAAAGTTCAGTTCAAAAATTATATATGTTGTTTGACCACAAAAGTATCTGTGAAGTATTTTAATATTTAATTATTATTGGATACATAGAAGGGGTATCCGATATGTATCTTCGAGTATCTGACGAGTATCGTATATAATACGATATTCAATACGGATACGTTAACTTCAACAAAATATCTGTATTTTATAGGTGTGAGAAAATATTAAACCTGAAATTTTCATATTACAAAGAGCAATGATATAGGGATCTTATTCGGAAATTTTATTTAGAGACTTAATGATGTGATTTTAATACAATAATTAAATTTTTAATATTAAATAGAGTCCACGCGAATTCAATAGTTATATATCCCTAAATTCTTAAATAAGGTCTCGGTACAAATAGCATTTCTCTATTGCAAAAAAGTCAAGCTCAACCCTTAATGATTAACTTAGATATGACTTAAACACCGCACGAAACGAGCCATTCATAATCATAGCCACCCCACCCACTCATCAGCTAGACCTGCTGGAGCAGCAGTGTCTTTGCATCAGAAAATATTATCTTTGTCGAAAAACAGAGAATCTTAATAGGAGTAGTTAGAAGTCAGATGTTGTTCTGGCCAACCATTCCCTAAACAAAATGAAGCATTCGGTGTTCCCTTGTCGTCCCCAAATTTGTGGACCTAGCCACTCTGCCTCTCTGATCCATCAGAGAATCATTACTCGAACAAGTAGTAAACAATTTACATTAACAGGTATTAAGAAAAGATGATGTTTGTGTGAGTACAATAGAAATTAATAGTCTATCCATTCACAAACCTAACCATTTTATTTATTTTTCTGTGCATGGTCTTCAACCCCATGGTAGATCATTACTATAACCTGTTTTTAATCGGTATAAAAATCCTATAACCATTAAATTATTGGGTATGGAGAAAAACTTCAAACTAGTGTTTCAACTTGTCGGGCATGGGCTTTCAGCTCAAAAGACTCGTGACTTGGTCCAAATTTATGTCATAACCAATCGATGTAAGACTCGTTTGACATCTCAACAATCCTCCCCTCGAACGAGATTTATAATGGATGATAATCATTGTTCTCTCAGCCAACACAAGAAATCAAGTTTATACGGTAGCTTGGGTCATGAGTCTATTACCACTTGTTGAGCAAGGATTTCTGGTCCAAAAGACACACCTACTAAGTGAAGGAGTGACCGACCATTTTCTAATTTCGCAATGATTCATATAATACCAAATTAAAATATGTAAAAGGTGAAGAAACGTCAAAAATTTTCTTTATTGTATTTATCTTGACCCTAATTTGATTCTTTAATTATTTAAGCTATCTACTTTCATGATTTTAGTTTCAAAAATTATTATCTTACCCCATTAATTTTTCATGTATTCCAAATTTCCAATACAATGCTAAGTGGCGAATGCTTTAGCAGGTGGGCTTAATAGTAAATGGACTCACGGATTAGAGCCTCGTAAGTGGGCTTAAAGTCAATGGCGCAGGAGGGACATATGGTACCGTGCACTACTGGGCCTTTGGGCTTTTCTAGGGGAAAAAAAGAGGCGGGCAAAGTTGGTAAATTGTCATCTAAAACCCTATAAAGTGTTTATATCCAATCGATCTTTCTGAGGAAGTCCTACTAATCGATCAGCTACTTGATTTCTGCCTTAAACACTAATTACGTCGCAGAGAACTTTCTTTACTCTTTAATTTAACCTAATTGTTTTTGTAATTCGGAGATGTCCCAAAAGAATCCTGAAGAAGTTTCAAATCAAAACCCTAGAATCACCTGGGAAGGTTGCAGTGTCTTACTTGACATCAACGACGGCGACCGTCTGGTGTTTGCTCGCCTCACAGCCGCTTCGTAAGTAGTTTTACTTGATGTTCGGATGGTTTCGTTGCTTCGTTGCATAGATAGGTTGATCCTTTACGGAATTTGCAGCTCTTTGAAAATTGGGAATAAGAATTGCAATCTTCAGCCATTGATTGGTTGTCCATTCGGTTCGTTGTTTCAAGTAGACAATGGAAAAGAAGGTCCATTTTTGTCCCGTGTTCTTCCAACTACACAAGGTAGCTTATTAACCTTATGTTGTTCTTGAAGTTGTACCGGAGATTATGTTTATTAGTTAATTGTAACCTTCTCTCCGCTTTTCTTGCACCATTATTTTCTGATTACTGATGTGTGTGCTGGTTTTTCACTATCAGGGAATAGTGATCAAGTAGAAGGGGATTATTTAATCATCAGTGAGTCGAAAGACAACCGAGCTATAGTTGATAATAATACAGCCCAAAGTCTTACCGGTGAAGATATAGATGCGTTGCGGAGGTTAGAATCTTACGTTACAGATAGCGAGTCATTTGCATTGATTTTGAATTCTCGCATTCATGCGGATATGTATGTTTTGTTTGAATCCATGAATGGTGCTAGGAGTGTTACATAAGCATTTATAAGCTTGCATCATCATAGAAACTTTATGAAGTTGCTTTAGGATATTATGATTCACAATATGTCTAACATGACTAGTATACATTGGGATTGCACATGGTTTTTATTTCACCTTCATCTGAAGCTTGTGTTAGGCAATGGCAATATTGTTGAGGTGAAATACTACAGACCTAACTGGTAGTTCCATTGTATGACAATGCATGTTTTTGATTGGTTTGGCATCTAATTTGTTCAGTTAAAAGCTTAAAGACTAAAAAAATGCAACAAGTTTGGAGAAGAATTCATGTGGTCTTCTATTGTACTGCAAGAACAGAGATCTTTCAAGTGTGCAAATACTATCAATCAAACTTGTATGCCACACTGCCATTCTGTCCAAAGATAAGTTGTGTGCCACTAATTGAAAATCAGGGAGAGGCATGGGAAGCAATTTTTGGAGTTAAATGGAAGATTGCTTATGAGAAAGCCAAAAAAAATTATAGCTTCTGTTGTTGCCATTCTCTTTCCTTGAGATTTCAGAAAAGAGAAATTTTATAAGAGGCTTCCTCTGTATCTTTACCCTATTCCCTTTCACTTAGAGATCAAATGACAGAAACAGTGATGATGCTTTTATAGATGTGCCGTAAGGAAATTGTTCCTTGGTTGGTATATTCCATTTTTTCTGTTCTAAGTTGATTTTCTGCTACATGTTAATTAGTTATCATCTATTTTTCACATATTCCCTGCACAAATCAGAGCTAATGTATGTCTTTAATTCAGACAGGGTGCAACTGGAGATGAGATAGTTCAAGCTCTGATTGCTAACAGTGCAACATTTGAGAATAAAACATCATTTTCACAGGTGAGCTAGGGATATGGTAATCAAGCATACTGTATAAGGGAAACACATGCTGAACTCTGATCTGCCTGCAGGAGAAATATCGGCTTAAGAAGCAGAAGAAATATGCACCCCGAGTACTTTTAAGACGTCCTTTTGCACGCAGGTATGCTCCAGCCCTATTAAGTGTAGTCCTCTGGAGACTTATTCGGCAAGCTCAGGAATTGGTTCATTAGGAAAGCTCCATTAACAACTATGGTTTTTCTTTTTGAATTAACAGCATTCAATAATGGATATTGGCTTACAGTTACTGCTGACCTACCGATCATACAACTTTTGCGAATCTCTTTGTTTTTCTTTATTACTTTCTTATATCATTGCCAGCTTAGTGTGAAAAACCAACTCAATAATGCATATTCAAAAGCCCAATATTGCTTTTAGTAGTTCAATAACCAGGGTTTTTCAGTCGGTCAACATGGACATTAATTTTGCTTGAGGAAAAAAAAAAGGATTTTATATTGAAATAAATTATAACAAGATGTGAGTGGAATTCTATCCTCAATCAGCCTCTGTCCTCCACAATCTTTTATGAAAACAGTTTGTGATTGATGCACTTTTCTCAAATTCAGACCGATGTTCAATTGGACAGTAAGGTAGGCCATTATCAATATAAAAGCAATAGGGCTGGCCATCATTATGTACTAACATAGTGAATATTGGCCATTATCTGCTGTGTACAAGTATAATAGTAAGGCTTGCCATTGTGTATTAATATTCTCCGTGGAATGAAAAAATGNCTAGTGATTCAATATAAAAGCAATAGGGCTGGCCATCATTATGTACTAACATAGTGAATATTGGCCATTATCTGCTGTGTACAAGTATAATAGTAAGGCTTGCCATTGTGTATTAATATTCTCCGTGGAATGAAAAAATGATGTGTTGTAGAGATATATGTAATTGAAATGCATGAGTGGTTAATTCTTGCTGTCTTCCACTAATCACATGTGGTTTTATACCTTTTCCATTTGCTGACTTGTTATGCCTTGTTCCTTTCAGTATATGTGAGGCATACTTCAAGAAATATCCAGCCAGAATTGGGTAATAACATCATCACTAATGATTTTGTATTGTTCATCCTATGTTTTCACATTTTCAGTTTAATCTATGTTTTGATATCATGTATGTTACTTACCTTCAAAATGCATTTTAATGGATTACAGAACTGGGAGGACATTGTTGTTTCTAACCTACTACTTTTGTACTCGAATGCATAGATATGTAGGCTGTTAGACTTCCATGTGCTCCCACAGTGGCTGTGTTCACTATTATTGTGTTGACCTTCTCACATGTTTAAGGTTCTAGTTGGTACTATGTGTATCTTCTTATTGTAACCTTGCTCGTTAGTGGGCTTTCTGTATCCTCTGTTCGCCTCTACGCAACAGATGAAATCATCACATTGTGTTGGTCTTTTGATGTGTTTAGTGCCATATAATACATTGAAACTTGTTGCGCAAGAATGATGCAAGTCATTGTTTATCATGCTGCTATGCCTCATTAGATTCTCAGCTGTACCATTCCTCGTGTGCTGGGAAGAAGTAGGTATATTGGAGTTCATATGTATGATTGACATAGCATTGCTTTTGGATCTCAATCCAATTGGTGAAGCTCCGCAATTTCATATATGGACTCAATAATCTTTTTATACTTGCAATATACATAGATTTTATTTAGCAGCAGATCGGCCTGCAGCCAACTGATTCTCATTACTTGACACTGTGTTAAAACCATGTGAGGCCAGTCTTGTCTTATTCATTGTATGGACTATAGATAATTTTTTCTTTTTTGTGTGTGTGTTTACCTATGAAGAGTCTTGTGTTTGGCATGCTGATGCTTTCACAGTAGAAAAATATAAGATGGGCTTCCCATGTATAAGTGGTGATATTTATACAATTTTTTTGCAAGAATTAATCTAGGTTTCTCCTACTTCCAATTGTAAGTTGTCGATGGATGTTTTGGTAGGAATTAGAGGGCATAACAGTTTGGTTAGCTTCCTGTGTTCCAAATTCATTTGTTTTGGTGAATATATCATAGAATCTGTGTTACTTTTTTTGACTATGAATTTCAGGTTCTTGCGAGTGGACTCTTTATCTCTTCTGCTTTCTATGGCTAACGTGACTGCACACTCTGATGTCCTTGTAGTGGATATGGTTGGTGGTATTCTTACTGGTGCTGTGGCAGAACGCTTGGGAGGTCTGCTTTTTTCCCTTTATTACAATCTTATAACTTTGCTGTTTAAAATACTCAAGGACTTGGTTATTTTTATATAAGATGGCAAGAGCTATGCATTAAAATAAAATTTAGGTAGGGATTTCGGATATGGGAATACAATCCCCATATTGAATTCCTTCACCTGCTTGTATACTCAATTGTTTATTGTTCTCCTTTTTCTGTATTGAATTCAGAATTTCTCATTCTTTTCTCACTTCTTTTTTTCTCATGTCACAATAATGAAGCAACAAGTCCTTTCTACAAAATGTGGATTTTTACAGGGAACTTCAGTCAAACCTTGGAGTTGCAAAGGCAGTATCTGTATTAAAAGGAAAATTTCATAATGCTTGAATAGCAATCTTGTATTTGTGCTCGGCTTCTGTTGTTTCTCTGTTTTTCCCATTTATGTTGTTGGAGTTTTTGTTGTAGTATAACTACACATTCTGTATCTTGTGGATTTGTATTTTACTATCTGAGACTTGTATTGGCCAACTATTCCCTGAGCCTGAACTGAGCTTTAGTACCTTGTTATCGTGCGACATTTTTGGGAACAGTGTCATTTTACTGGAACTGATAACTCTTCAAATTGGAATTTTTGCATATGTTGAAGGATTTTTATGGGTGATGGATGTGACCAAAATATAAGTAGCACTAATATTCTCATGTGTAGCTACATCTTTTGTAAATCTTCAGGTGTGAGAGTTTCTATGATAGTGTCACTTGATGTCAAGCAACGGTTTCCTATCCTAACAGTTGAATGGTGTTGTCTGTTTAACTTTACCAGGTACTGGTTATGTGTGCAATTCCTACCTGGGAGTTACACCGTATCCTATGAATATCGTGAGGATATTCAATTTCAATAATGAAATCTGCAAGAGGTACTTCTTCTGCCATGCCTGAAAATGAAGTGTAGAAATTTTTTGGGTTCTTGATTTATGGTTATGTTTTTTTTTTGCTGAGCGTTCAGTTATTTTGCTTAATCCCTGAAATTGTAGAAACGAACATCTGTATTGTTTCTCTGGTCAGGATTCTGCAGTCTCCCCTCTGTGACCTTTGTTCAGCTGAAGATGGAACTATTGCGCAAACTGAGCAGCTGGAAGTTGCCTTAAGTAACCAAAAACAGTCAAACGTTAGTCACAGTTCTTATTATCTCATTGCATTTCATCTTGTTGGTTCCCTATGTGTACAATAAGTCAATAAGATTGTTTGTGCAGGATGAAATAATGTCTTCTGATTCACCTCCAAACTCCATCAGTACGGAAGGGAACTGTCTCTCTTCTGAAAACGGGAGTATGGATATCATTACTGAGACAGNTTGTTTGTGCAGGATGAAATAATGTCTTCTGATTCACCTCCAAACTCCATCAGTATGGAAGGGAACTGTCTCTCTTCTGAAAACGGGAGTATGGATATCATTACTGAGACAGCTGCTTCTCCATTTATCAAACCTTGCAAAGCAGCAAAAGCTGGAGAGAAGGCACCACAAGAGGCCACTAAGTTGTGGAGAGAAAATGGTTTTTCTAGGTCAATTACTATTCGTTGATCGATTCATTGAACTTTGGTTTATTGCATTTGGTTAAAATTCTGACTTCTGAATCCTTGTTCAGCCTAATAATTGCTGCTCCAGATCTGGATGCTTGGAGCACTGTCAAAGAACTCCTCCCACTTCTGGCTTTTTCAGCTCCATTCGCAATTTATCACCAATATCTTCAGGTCATTTGCTTTGAGTTCCTAATAAGTTGTAAAAGTTTTACTCTAATTATGGAGTCTTTTGCTTCTTTGCCTTCCTGATGGGAGCAATTATGTGAAGTTGATAATTTTTAAACTTACTGATAGTTGATGCGGTAAATTGTTTACTCTTTTGCTTTGAGTTCCTAATAAGTTGTAAAAGTTTTACTCTAATTATGGAGTCTTTTGCTTATTTGCCTTCCTGATGGGAGCAATTATGTGAAGTTGATAATTTTTAAACTTCCTGATAGTTGATCCGGTAATTTGTTAACTTTCTGATATTACTTTTCCCTTTTTTGACTTCTTCTTGGTGGGGAATTTTGTATATTTGTTTTTTTTTTTTTTTTGGTATTTGTATTCCGTCAGTCTATTATTTACATGATTACTTCAATGTTACTTATTCTGTGTACAATAAATTGTTTGAGGTATGTTTTAGCAAGTCATGTTTGTACATCTACACTCTTCCCCTTTTAGATGTACCCTTTAATGTGATATTCTGATTTCNTCATTCTGTGTACAAGAAATTGTTTGAGGTATGTTTTAGCAAATCATGTTTGTAGATCTACACTCTTCCCCTTTTAGATGTACCCTTTAATGTGATATTCTGATTTCTGGATATGCATGCACTCAATGAGACCTTGAACCAATGCAATTTTAATATTTCAATGCAGCCTCTTGCTACGTGCATGCACAATCTNTTATTCTGTGTACAATAAATTGTTTGAGGTATGTTTTAGCAAGTCATGTTTGTACATCTACACTCTTCCCCTTTTAGATGTACCCTTTAATGTGATATTCTGATTTCTGGATATGCATGCACTCAATGAGACGTTGAACCAATGCAATTTTAATATTTCAATGCAGCCTCTTGCTACGTGCATGCACAATCTACAGCTTGAAANGATATGCATGCACTCAATGAGACCTTGAACCAATGCAATTTTAATATTTCAATGCAGCCTCTTGCTACGTGCATGCACAATCTACAGCTTGAAAAAATGGCAGTTGGCTTGCAAATTTCAGAACCCTGGATACGCGAATATCAGGTTTTCTTTGATCTCAAGTTTGTTTTCCTTTTTAACCTCTCATTATTTTTCTGTAATGAAACTAGATAAAAGCTTTAATTTATCTCCTCTTTGCCTACCACATTCTCTTTGATCTCTAATTTGTTTTGTTTTCTTTCTTGTTATTTATTTGTAACCAAATTACATAAAAGTTTTACTTTTATCTCTTCTTTGCTGAACATGTTTTCTATTCTCTTGTTGACCACGTTCTCTATTCTCTCTCCACATGAGATATGAACCTTCTAATATTTTTAGATTTTGCAGTATCAGATGCGCTTATGCTGATGCTTTTTTTTTTAAATAGGAAACAAAAATTTTATTAATAAATAAAGTAGTTACATCCTAAATGGTTGGATAAGAAATCCAACCAATTTAATAGAAATCATAAAACTATGTATTACATGAAGTTTGCCATCCCGTCAAAATTCCAAAAAGTGGGATTCCTCCGAATTCTTTAGTAAGTATAGCCCAAAATGATGCCAAGAAATAAATTTAAACCCATTAAACCTTCTACACACTCAACTCGATTTTCAAAAATTCTTGTATTTCTTTCCCTCCAAATAACCCACAAAGTAGCAATAATAGCACAATACCAACAAAAAAAGATGTAGCTGAAACGGGAACCACCCAATTCAATTCCACCAAGCTAAATAACTTGTACCACGACATCAATGCTNTTTAAACCCATTAAACCTTCTACACACTCAACTCGATTTTCAAAAATTCTTGTATTTTTTTCCCTCCAAATAACCCACAAAGTAGCAATAATAGCACAATACCAACAAACAAAGATGTAGCTGAAACGGGAACCACCCAATTCAATTCCACCAAGCTAAATAACTTGTACCACGACATCAATGCTGTAAAAATAAATGATCAATGCTTTCACAATCCCCTTTACACATAACACAACATAGTAGACATAGACGAGTGAGGCCTCTTCAAAGAAGCATATCCATTGTATTAATCTTACCATGTGCAGCAAGACACGCAAAAACTTGAACTTTTCTCGACACTGTAGCCTTCCAAATCATCATAGTAGGTGAAAAAAAAAGACANCCTACATAAGAGTTCCAAAAGGAATTGCGACCCAAAATACTGTACCAACTAAACCTACCCCCATCATACCACGTACCTAAGAATGTGTCGTACCATGTACCCGTACTTGTACCACGCACCAAAGCNATAATCTCCTTTACACATAACACAACATAGTAGACATAGACGAGTGAGGCCTCTTCAAAGAAGCATATCCACTGTATTAATCTTACCATGTGCAGCAAGACACGCAAAAACTTGCACTTTTCTCGACACTGTAGCCTTCCAAATCATCATAGTAGGTGAAAAAAAAAGACACAAGAGGATCATCTATCAGAGATCATAAAAGAATTTACATGAAAAAATATTTGAAGACTCAAAAACCCATCTTCTTCTATCACATGATTCTTGACACAACAAATGATCATTAAGAATATGCAAGAGGGATAAAATATTATGCATATTCCTATCATCAAAATTTCTACAAAAACTAAAATTTCAAAAATATAGTTGATTATAAGAACCAATCATAAAGGCAAATGGTTGAACCATGATATGAAGATAAATGATGAAGACGTGGAANGAGATAAAATATTATGCATATCCCTATCATCAAAATTTCTACAAAAACTAAAATTTCAAAAATACAGTTGATTATAAGAACCAATCATAAAGGCAAATGGTTGAACCATGATATGAAGATAAATGATGAAGACGTGGAAACCAAAAAGATAGAGATGACTCCCTTGCCCAAACATCCTCCCACAAACGAACTCCCATCCCATTACACACCACTAACTTTAGTTCTTGGGAAAAACTTGTCAATCTCTGTGATATGAATTTTCAAGGGCTTCAAGAACTTTCCCTTTCAACCATACTAGTGTCACATTCATTGGTTTGTAATCCATANCCAACCTTAGTTCTTGGGAAAAACTTGTCAATCTCTGTGATATGAATTTTCAAGGGCTTCAAGAACTTTCCCTTTCAACCATACTAGTGTCCCATTCATTGGTTTGTAATCCATATCTGCTCTTGATAACAAAATGCCACAGAGTATTTTGTTCCAAAGGAAACTGCCAAAACCATTTACCCACTAAAGCAATATTTTTTGCTTTCAAATTACCAATTGAAAGACCACATTTATTCCTAGGTCAGAAAATCTCCTCCTACCCAATCGATTGATCTTTTTTTCCATCACCATTACTTTTACACAAAAAGTCTCATTATTNCTAACTTTAGTTCTTGGGAAAAACTTGTCAATCTCTGTGATATGAATTTTCAAGGGCTTCAAGAACTTTCCCTTTCAACCATACTAGTGTCACATTCATTGGTTTGTAATCCATATCTGCTCTTGATAACAAAATGCCACAGAGTATTTTGTTCCAAAAGAAACTGCCAAAACCATTTACCCACTAAAGCAATATTTTTTGCTTTCAAATTACCAATTGAAAGACCACCTTTATTCCTAGGTCAGAAAATCTCCTCCTACCTAATCGATTGATCTTTTTTTCCATCACCATTACTTTTACACAAAAAGTCTCATTATTTTTTCAATCTTCATAGCAGCTTACTTGGCGACCTAAATAGAGATCTACGTGGGAATACTAGCTAGTATTGACTACATTAAAGTTAACCTCCCTCCCCTAGATATGAAAGCTCTCTTTCACCCATTTAATTTTTTTTCCTACTCTCTCCACCATAAGACCCCAGAAAGATAATGTTAATGGATTCCCACCCAAGGACAAACTTAAGTACTTAATAGGCTAAACCATGGTTATCACAATTCACTAAACCCTTAACGACCCATGATCNTATTGACTACATTAAAGTTAACCTCCCTCCCCTAGATATGAAAGCTCTCTTTCACCCATCTAATTTTTTTTCCTACTCTCTCCACCATAAGACCCCAGAAAGATAATGTTAATGGATTCCCACCCAAGGACAAACTTAAGTACTTAATAGGCTAAACCATGGTTATCACAATTCACTAAACCCTTAACGACCCATGATCTGGGTACATCGATCTGAAACGTGATGGGTTCGCAATGTAGATCACCAAAATTGACGACCCCAAATTGCAATACTAACTTTAAATTAATTCGCTTTAGAACATGTAGTACAAATATAAAATATATATTAATTAACTACATATATATAGATTTATAATTATATATTGTTTTACAAAATAAAAAATCAAGCACAATTATAAGATAAATGGTAACTAACTTAGTATTTATGAATGTTTTGTAATATATAATGTTGTATAGAAGTGAAAATGATCTACATAAGAGTTCCAAAAGGAATTATGACCCAAAATACTGTACCAACTAAACCTACCCCCATCATATCACGTACCTAAGAATGTGTCGTACCATGTACCCGTACTTGTACCACGCACCAAAGCGACCCACGATCCAGGTAACATTGGGCTAAACCCTAACTTTACATCCCAATACACTTACAATTCACCTTCAATCTTGACACAATACCAATTACTTTCACAATATTCTTGAAATTTAAAAAATTTTCTTCATCACCCCCATAAAAAAATATTGTATCATCAGCAAACTATACATGTAATAGTATTATCCTATCCTTTCTCACTTCAAAATCTTCAACAAGACTACATTTCTCCGCTCTCTTCACTGGCCTACTCAATCCATTAGCAATTAGAGTAAAAAGAAATGGAGATAATAGGTCACCTGATCTCCCATTAATTTGAACCTACCTCTTAAATTGTTGCTTTGAACCTACCCCTAGGCCTCCCACTAATCATAACTGAAGTGTTCATAGAATGCAAACATCCTAGAATTCATTTTCTCCATCTTCCATCAAATTCTTTCACTTTAAGNTATTGCTTTGAACCTACCCCTAGGCCTCCCACTAATCATAACTGAAGTGTTCATAGATTGCAAACATCCTAGAATTCATTTTCTCCATCTTCCATCAAATTCTTTCACTTTAAGGACATAATCTAAATATTCCCCGTCAACGTGATCATAGGCCTTCTCAAAATCANATAACCTGATTTTCAAGCATATAAATATTTCTGTAAATAGGAATTTCTAAGCAACTGGTTTGGATTGATCAATGAAATGTAACATTTGTGTCTTTAAAGGCCTTGAGGCTAAGGACGGTTTGATGACCAAAGTCATATGCCCAGTAGATAAATGGCATCCCCCACANAGGACATAATCTAAATATTCCCCGTCAACGTGATCATAGGCCTTCTCAAAATCATTCTTGAATCAATCTTGAAAACGAAACTATCATTTCCTATCTTTGTAATCTTTCACGGCCTCATTAACCACCAAAGCAACATCAAGAATTTGTGTTTCCTGCACAAAAGTTCACTGACACTCAAAAATAGTCTCACTAAGAACCTCAATCTCATAGATAAAACTTTTGCACTGATCTTGTACAGGCTAAACACCAAAGTTATTGCTCAAAAATCCTTCAATTGCAAAGACTTATCCTTCTTTGGGATTAAACAAATAAAAGTTGAGTTAGTTATTGCATTCGCCACTCCATTTTGAAAGAATTTATTAAAAAACTCTCATTAAATTTTTCTTGAAACAATCTTGATAAACAGCTAAAGTAAAGTCATCTGAACTTGGAGGTTTATCTTTTCCACATTCCAAGACAATCTTCCTCATCTTTTCTTCCTCAAAAGGCCTTTCCAACCACCTAAATTTACCCTCCTCAATTGGTCTCCACTCCAAGCCCTCGATAGGTTTAATACCCCTTGAGAAGAGTGTAATTGTATGAAGAACTCCACAATTTTAATTTCAATCATTTTGTCACTCTCAATAATCGCACCGTCCTCAATTTCTAATTTATCCTTACACTTCTTTTTATTTCTCTCGTTTGCAATTCTATGAAACAACTTAGAATTATTATCCCTTTCTTCCTTGAACACCATTTCCTCAAACTGATTCCTAACTTTCTACCTCTCTTTTCTCAAGCTCTCATCTAAATCCCCATTCCCTTCAATGATATCAATCTCCCCAATTCTATTTATGATAAGACTTTTTGTAACTCTAATATCTACAAAGACTTCCTTATTCCAATCTTTTACCCTTTGTTTCACATACTCCAATTTTTTTATAAACTTAAAACCTTCCCATCCATCAAATCTTCTTTCCCTCCACCACTCCTTAAACCTTCCTCTAAATGTGTGATGCTCTAACAACATATTCTCAAATCTGAAAGGACTTGGACCCCATCTAACCTTGGATGAATCAATCACAATAGGACAATGATTTGACACTACCCTCGTAAGAAGCTCTTGCCTAACTCCTAGATAGCAATCCTCCCATTCGATAGGAAAAAGAAATTTATCCAATCTATTGCAAACTGGAATTTCTATAAAATTTGATCAAGTGAAAATTCAATCACCCAATGGTGGATCCCTAAGCCTTGTATCCCTAATGAAATCATCAAAATCTCTCATACTCCTAGTGACCTCCTCCCATTTAATTTTTCAGAAATATATCTGATAATATTGAAATCTCCACCCATACACCACTGAGGATCACATAGATCATACAACCCTGCTAATTCCTCCCAAGGCCTACTTCTCAACCTAGTTAACCACCACTCAAACCCATCACTCGACTTAATCCTAACTGACAAGTTAAACTCATCCTCCACTATTTCTTCCACTTTAATAGTCCCCTCATCTCATCCCACATGATCAAAATACCACCTGAGCTACCTACAGAAGGCAAGCATACCCAATTCCTATATATAGAGCTCCTCACACACTCTTAACCACTCTACGATCAACCACTTGAGCTAGCTCATATGCTGATGCTTTTGTATGAGCTAACATTCCTCACTGTATCCTCATAATAGCCCCTTTGTTCTACTGCATCATTTTGCCCTCGCTCAGTGAAATGCTTTTTTCATATTGTAATCTAGAATATCTGAATTATTTATGTCTAAAGCATAATTTGACTCTGCATCCAGCAGCACCAAATCTATCTTTTCTATCAAATTTTGTTTTGTTTTGTTTTGTTTCTTGAATCAAGTGGGGGTTTTTGATATTGTTGTATTCATTTTGATTTTATTCTTCTAGTCAATTCTGGTAACTCAGTCTGGCTTGACTGATATTTTGGAAAACATGCAGGTTCTCCCGTCAAGAACCCATCCACACATGCAGATGAGTGGTTTTGGTGGGTATATTTTGAATGGTACCAGAATATGTAGCAGTAACCAACCTCAACCAAAATAACAGATTTAGCCCTGCCCTTCTTTCATGTAGTCATTTTCTCTTATCTGAAGCAATTGCCTCCCAATTGTTCCCTGTATCGTTTGGCAAGATGTGTACACCACAGTGACTTACAACAATTCCCCAGTCTCAGGCTTCATCCCCAAATGCAAGGGTCGTGAATTTTGACATCATAATTTTTTTTCCTCTTTCATCAACATAAAGTATTCAGATAATCTATTTATAACCTGATTTTCAAGCATATAAATATTTCTGTAAATAGGAATTTCTAAGCAACTGGTTTGGATTGATCAATGAAATGTAACATTTGTGTCTTTAAAGGCCTTGAGGCTAAGGACGGTTTGATGACCAAAGTCATATGCCCAGTAGATAAATGGCATCCCCCACAAGCATAGAAAGGAAAGCCAGATGGATGCTCAAAGGAAACCCAGCTGGGATAGGAGGAATCATAAGGAATGATCAAGGCAAATGGATAGCGGGCTTCTATGGGAGGATGGATGCCTCCACGAGTCTACAGGCGGAATTGGAGGCTATTCAGAGGGGACTGGAGTTGGTTCAAAAGAGGAATATCACTCAAATCATTGTAAAAACTGATTCACTTGATGCTGCTAAGCTCCTCTCTGCAGACTCAGAGGCCACCCACTCGAACAGAGCTCTGATTATCCATTGCAGGAGGTTAATGGATATGATGCAGATCCCAATTGTTCACATCCTCAGAGAAGGAAATCAGTGTGCTGACGCCTTGGCCAATCTTGGTGCCCAACAAATGGAAAAGTTTGTGGAGCTTGAAGCTTTCTCTTTCCCAGCTGGCTAATTTTTTGTTAGCTGATATGACGAGTGTGGTTTTTGCTGAGAATTCAGTCTAGTTTTATTATGTTTTTTATCTTCCGATGTACCAAAAAAAAAAGAAAGGAAATTAAGTTCAGATGCTTATAATCTAGGCCTAGGAAGCGGCCCAACCTGGCCTAATCTATTTCAGCCCATAGCCCGCCTGTGAGATTTGACTAGTCAATGGGCTGGGCCTGTTGTTGGGTTAAAATGGGCTTTTAACGGGCCAGGTCTAATGGGACTCAATGGGCTTTGTGTGAAAATTTTGATTTTTATCTAAAAATTACAAAAAGAGATAAATTCATAAAATTTGGGGGTATATTTGTACTTTTTTAATAAATAAAAGGAAAAAGAGCCATTTTTTGGGGGGTGTTTTGGTATTTTTTTTAAATGAAAGAACAAATGAGCCATTGCTTTTTGGGGGAGGGATCTGAATTTTTTTTAAATAAACTTGGAAAGATATTTAAAATTCTAATGGATATATTTTATTGGGCTAATGGGCTGGTTAATGAGCCAGATTATTGAGCTTTTAATGGGCCAGCCTTTTGGGCCATCAGCCCGTAAAAATACAACTGAAGGCCTGTCCGCCAGTCTAACAGGCTATCCAAGGCCAGACACATGTATGGGCCGGGTAGTTGTTGGGCTGCCAATCTTTGGGCGGTCCTTTGGCCCCTGGGCTTTTTGCTGAGACCTACTACAATCTATGTACGGAAACGCCAAGGTTCCCCATTTTGCCCTTTTCCCTTTTTGTTTCCTCGCAGAGTGGACCTCCCCCCTTTTTCTTTCGAAACATGCTTTTCTGTGTGTTTTTTTTTGCCTGTTGAAGGGTATACTGGACCACAAGGCCCACGCTCAAGTATCATCATATAGTTTTGGCAGTGAAAAATTATTTTCAAATTAGCCTGTGCAAAGTGATAATGGATATCAGTTTTTGCTAAGTTCGTAATGTTCAATCCATGCTGGTTAAGATTCCCACGAACTAGCAAAAGATCCAACGGGATTATACCTACTAACATGAGTTCCGATTTGGCTTCAAACCAAAGCTAGCAGGGGCTAGCTTCATAAACCCCCCCCCCCCCAAAAAAAAAAAAAAAAAAAACAAACACATACACACCTGTTAACCCCCAGCGAACCCTGACCCGTGCTACTCAAATTTCAAAACTTGATTGAAAATTTACCCTTCAATGCACAATAACTACCGCACCTTGCTGGTTTCCTACGCGATTTCAAAACTGGACCAACAACTTANTACTTATAATCTAGGCCTAGGAAGCGGCCCAACCTGGCCTAATCTATTTCAGCCCATAGTCCGCCTGTGAGATTTGACTAGTCAATGGGGCTGGGCCTGTTGTTGGGTTAAAATGGGCTTTTAACGGGCCAGGTCTAATGGGACTCAATGGGCTTTGNTGGCATTTCATAATGCTAATCAGTGAAACCATTGACCCCACCCACTAAAAGTTCCCTGTTGAAAAATCATGGACAACAAATGAAGTAATGAATAGAACAGAGCAACAAATTTACATCAACATCATCAATCATGTGAGTATATGTCCAACTACTGCCTAAATATTCGCATATTACAAACTAAAATGTGNGTGTTTGGTATTTTTTTTAAATGAAAGAACAAATGAGCCATTGCTTTTCGGGGGAGGGATCTGAATTTTTTTTAAATGAACTTGGAAAGATATTTAAAATTCTAATGGATATATTTTATTGGGCTAATGGGCTGGTTAATGAGCCAGATAATTGAGCTTTTAATGGGCCAGCCTGTTGGGCCATCAGCCCGTAAAAATACAACTCAAGGCCTGTCCGCCAGTCTAACAGGCTATCCAAGGCCAGACACATGTATGGGCCGGGTAGTTGTTGGGCTGCCAATCTTTGGGCGGTCCTTTGGCCCCTGGGCTTTTTGCTGAGACCTACTACAATCTATGTACGGAAACGCCAAGGTTCCCCATTTTGCCCTTTTCCCTTTTTGTTTCCTCGCAGAGTGGACCTCCCCCCTTTTTCTTTCGAAACATGCTTTTCTGTGTGTTTTTTTTTGCCTGTTGAAGGGTATACTGGACCACAAGGCCCACGCTCAAGTATCATCATATAGTTTTGGCAGTGAAAAATTATTTTCCAATTAGCCTGTGCAAAGTGATAATGGATATCAGTTTTTGCTAAGTTCGTAATGTTCAATCCATGCTGGTTAAGATTCCCACGAACTAGCAAAAGATCCAACGGGATTATACCTACTAACATGAGTTCCGATTTGGCTTCAAACCAAAGCTAGCAGGGGCTAGCTTCATAAACCCCCTCCCCCCCAAAAAAAAAAAAAAAAAAAACAAACACATACACACCTGTTAACCCCCAGCGAACCCTGACCCGTGCTACTCAAATTTCAAAACTTGATTGAAAATTTACCCTTCAATGCACAATAACTACCGCACCTTGCTGGTTTCCTACGCGATTTCAAAACTGGACCAACAACTTAGCATTTCATAATGCTAATCAGTGAAACCATTGACCCCACCCACTAAAAGTTCCCCGTTGAAAAATCATGGACAACAAATGAAGTAATGAATAGAACAGAGCAACAAATTTACATCAACATCATCAATCCTGTGAGTATATGTCCAACTACTGCCTAAATATTCGCATATTACAAACTAAAATGTGGACGAAGCTACCTGGTTATTTAACGATTTGATGCAGCCCGGGTTCTCCTTAATCTGCCACGTGTAACCCGAATAGCTTCTTCCATGACAGTTTGTTGTTGGGGAGGGTTTGCAGTTTCGTTTGCTGAAGACACAGATTCGATTAGCATTGCGTCTACTTCATTCAAATCCAAATATTTGGTGGTTTCAATGGGGGTTTGCTTTCCAGTTGTTTTTTGTGCATGCAGGACAGCAGCAGGGGGAGCTTCTACAGGAACTTGTGATGGGCCCACCTCTTCCACTACGTCATCTTGGTGTTGACTTGAAGATGTGATAGAACTGGGGGAAGGTGGTTCTTCTGCCTGAGGCTGTGCTGTCGCAGATGGTTGGGGTTTGGCTGCTGCAGTGGATTGGCGAACTCTAGCACCTTGTTGCGTCTGTAATTTTTATGCGAGTTATCGTTCATGAAAGAAAAAATGGGCTTTCTAAACTGTAGCACTGGGAGTAACAGTGCTCATTTAAATGATGCAACAAGATAATATTTATCATATACTATTCGGCATCACTATTTGAGAATTCTAAGTGACAAGTTCTGCCAGCCCCAAACAGGGCATAAAACAATTGACTATAAGCAAGCTGTTTTAAGCAAACAGTCTAATTCTATACTGCAAACACGAAACCAGGTATTCATGTAAAAACATCCACATGAAATCATGGGGCTACCAATTTAATTTTATTTTCCCAGTAAAAGTTTCTTTAAGTTTTGGATACTCTGTCATAAGTCCAAAATTTTCACATTAAACATAGAAGTCCAGTTAACAGATTGCAATTGAATATTTTTGGAAAATGTTCAGGTACAACTTCAAAACACCCTAGCTAATTATAGAAGATGGCAAACGATTTAGATCTAAATATTAAAATGCCTAAGAAAAAGAAGAGAAATAATGAAAGCAAGGTTTAGACACAAATATATACTAATTCCTTCTCACGTGCAAGAAATAAGGAGATGATAAGTTCATAGCACAATAGTGTTTCAAGACAGGGAGCACTGAAAATAATGACCAGTATGAATTTGTCTCTATGGTTATGGTTCAAAGGTGACAAACAAACCTGCTCCCCTTCTTTTTTTTCTTCCACCAAGCACATTGGCACACTACCTCACGCCACCCTAAACAACAACCAACCAGAAAATCACCCAACCTAAGGAGAGGAGGAAGCCTTTCTATCTGAAGTTCCAGGGTTGCTAAATTTGGTGGTTCATGCTCACTATTTAACTAGTACTCCAAATTCGGGATAAAAAACATTGACCCCTGCATTCTACATGCAAAATGCTTCAACCCTTGCAGTGTGTTTAGGTAAATTAAATAAATAGCGAATTACTCATGGAAGTTCTTAAGGTATAGAGTTTTGAGGGTAAATATGTAACCACTACTCTGATAGAATCACACTGAAGAAACGTAGATGTGGATCGGGAAGCAGTAGTACTCATGATAGGTTTTTTATTCTTTTGTGGCGCAAACTTAACGTTCACAGTGCACAAGAACCAGAACACCAGATCATTGAGGGTCAACTATGCTGCACCGAACAGGATGTAGTCTATAAAGATAACCCGATACTCTGATTGATCCCTAACAATATTTGATAATACATACCGGGGCAGGGCGAGGTCTTGGAGTTGATTGTGAAGCAATATACTGCAAAATATCAAAAACTCTTGTCTGCCCATAGCTTGCAGCTTTTTGCCAGTACAAAATTGCAATATCTCCAGCTCTAGTCCTCAGTTCGAACAAGCTACGATCAATTTCTGTCTCATGCTTTGCAACATATGGTCTAAAGAAGGAATCATAAACATATGTTGTTCCCTGAAATAATTGAAGCCAAATAGAAGACATTATTTTATTAAGCTGGAAAACACAAACTATTAGGCAACTACGCATTAGTTCCCAGAGAATAAGATCGTGTACCTTAGTCTTAGGATACCACAAGTATATGAAAAAGGCCAACTTAGCTTCACTGTACATAGGAACCCTACACAAGTAAACGACATAAGAAACAATCTCAAACCTAAAAATCTCTCAAACTCAACCTTGGATTCCTTACCAAGAAACAAAAGTGTCACCAATCCGCTCACAAACTGTCAAAGCGGCAACTAGGATCCTGAAATTTTACAATATTAAAGAAAGAAAAAAGAATTTTAACAGTATAGTTTGTAGAAATGACACTAAGTGACAAGAATAGTGAAAAAAAAAAAAACTACCAATACTGGCACCAAAAGCGAAGTTGCTCAATGTCAGGCTTATTCATTTCCACAGTTTTGAAGCACTCATAAGCTGGATAAGCATAACCAAAAACAATCCTGCCGAAGAAAAAGTGCTGAATTAATAGTATCTACGATAGCAAATACTATTCTAATAAAAAATAGGAGATATTGGGAGACATACGCGAGGCCTCTGCTAAGAAACGACCCAATCATATTGAAATCCTGGTGCAGACAAAGAAAACATCAGGTGAAATTAGATTCTACAATTTGTGAACAAGTAATTATTACTAGTTACTATACTTGAAGAAAACTAAGGGAGTGTTTGACAGCATGGAGAACAGGCCTTCGAATGGAAATTGAAGTAAAAACTACTTTGAAGCGTGAACTAGTAAGGTCAACTGGTGTAAGATCAATACGAAGGCATTCCTAATCACTTAATCAGCCTAAAACAGACACCATTACCATGAAAAAAAATAATTAAAGCATTATCAATCGGAGTAAAAATAACCTAGAGCGAGAAAAAAAACCTCTGAAAAACACAGGTAAGTACAATAAACAGAAATCAATAGAATCAAAATCAATGTCTCGATCAGAATCCAACGGAAGAGAATTTATAATAATCATAACAATTGAATCCAGAACTCAATAGGAAGGTAATGAACATGATTTACCTTTTGATAACTATATCTTAAACAAACAGGAACAAAAAATATTATGTATGTATAAATCGCAGATGAGAGTCAATCGAAAGTGCTCCACCAAGAGAGAATGCAAAATTGAAAGCACTGAGACAAAGTATAGATATCAGAGCGGTTATAGAAACACTCAAAAAGAACGCCGGCGTACGGACAAGCGTGGCCGACGTTGCGCGACGGCGAACCGTTACTTTGTCGGCGGGAAGAGTGTGAAGCGTGACATGAGAGAGCGAGAGAGAGCGTCGTTTTGAAATTCCCTTCTTTGACTTAACTTTCAGATAAATTTTTGAGTTCCGATGAGATGGAAAAGCAGGAATCTAGTGCGCGAAGAATAATGAGAACGGTGTGAATAACCGTGTTGATCACCGTTGATTTATAACGGACGGTACGGGTATACCCATCTACAGTGAAACTGGACACAAGTGTAAACTACTTTTTGATATCTAATCATCTCCTCTACTAGTTAACGTTTCGCCTCCACCCCTTTCTGACGTGTAATGTAGCACGATAATTAATTAATTAATAATATTATTTAAACTTAATTTATTAATATAACATATTATTTTAATTCATCGCAATTAATAGATTGAGAAGCATCCAACCGAACACTACGCCCCGCTGTCTAAAGTTTTAGATTAAGTAATGTTACTCTTAATTAAAATTCTATTACTAAAATTTAATATTTTTTATTGTATTTATGGACCTATAAATTTTTAAAATTTTCTATTTAATTTCTTCTCAATTATTATTAATAAGATATGGTGTCATAATTTATTTGAGGATAAATTACAATGACACACCCCATATAGATTAGCTTAATTACAAAAATACACACTCTATTATATAATATTTTACACAGGGGCAAGTTCTAAATTTTTGTAAAAATTTCCATAATTTCAATTAACGCTCAATTTTTTTTTAAAATTGCAGTGGGCACGCTGAATCCTCCCCTGCTTACAAATTAGTCTTTAATTAGTAGTGATTTTCTTTTTCTATTGGGAATATTAAATTTTGTTTCCTTATTTTTAGAAGTCGGTATGGTAAATGAGACATGTTATAGGCTTTGTAAGAAATGTTTCAATTAGTTGGTCTAATGGTCAAGTCTTTCTTATTATAAGTAAGATNTCTTTAATTAGTAGTGATTTTCTTTTTCTATTGGGAATATTGAATTTTGTTTCCTTATTTTTAGAAGTCGGTATGGTAAATGAGACATGTTATAGGCTTTGTTAGAAATGTTTCAATTAGTTGGTCTAATGGTCAAGTCTTTCTTATTATAAGTAAGATATTTTAGGGTAGATATTTTCCACATTTCTTTTAAGGATAACTTGAATTATGGCAGTTAATCTCATAATTTGAAGGAATAATTGATGCAAATTTAAATATTTTATTGTTANTCACGCACCCAAGTTCTTTACGGGATATAACTTGAATTATGGTAGTTAATCTCATAATTTGAAGGAATAATTGATGCAAATTTAAATATTTTATTGTTAAAAAAAAATTAATATCCTAACTTGCTAAGGAGTTTGTGACCCAATTTTTTTTTTTTCATATGTTTTTAAATTTCCCAAGTCAAATTTGTGGTTGTGATTGATCATCCCCAACCACAGAGCAGGAGAAGACTGCAACCCAGCTCTCTAGTCTGGCCTGAGAGTCTGAGACTTCCATATCCTCGAGCACAAAGAAAGAGGAAAGAAGAGGAAATGTCAGTTGCTACTTCACTTGGTCGCTTTCACTCTCCGTTTCTCTGTTCCCCTCTCAAGCTCTCTTCTTCTCTCCCCTGCAAATCTGCAAGAAATCACCGCTCACCAGCCTCTTATCCATGCGTTAGAGCTCTTGATCTTGACCTAAACACGGTGATCATTTTTCCTTTTTTAATTGTGTTGTATGAAGTTGTAGTGAGTTATTCAGTACGGTAAAGTAAGGTTGGCGTTGCTCTGACTTTGCAGGTTGTGGCTATAACTGTAGGAGTTGTGAGCATTGCAGTTGGGGTTGGAATTCCAGTTTTTTATGAAACCCAAATCGATAATGCTGTAAAATTCCCCCCCTTCTCTTGTTTATTATTTTGAATTCTACTCATAATATTGCATTCTTTATGCCATAAGCCCCTCTAATCAATATAAACTTTGAGACACATATGTAACTACAGACATATGTAACAGGCCAAACGAGACAACACGCAGCCATGTTTCCCCTGCGATGGATCTGGTGCTCGTAAGTGACTAGCTCTCTCTCTCTCTCTCTCTCTCTCGTTATTTCTTATTTGAATGATAAACGAGCTAGATAGGAGTTTCACTTTCTGAATTTTGGTGATGAATGGAAAGAGTAATGCCTGGTTGTCACGGATTTTAGGAAATTTTGCTCATCAGCCCTTGTTGGCACACTCCTTACTTGGCTCCTTATAATCCTTACTGTTTGTGCTGATTGAGGATGCAATTGGGCTTTCATGTTGTTCTAATGGTGGCTACTACTTTTAACCTCTATGGTTGGGATAAACAAACACGAACCGTAATTATAACTTAATGGTTTGATCACTGCAACCCATCTTTCTTAGAAGCTATGATTGGTTTTCCTTGATTGATAAAAAGAAGGTGCTAGTTGCAATCCCTTTTGTTCTTCCCACCCTTAATAAAATGAGAACTTAAATTTCTCTTAAGAGTCCCTCTTCGGATGGAAAATGGATCTTTGAATTCATTATAGAAGAAGCGTCTCTGTAGAGTGAAAGTCCAGATTCTTAAAAGAGAAGGGCACTCAAAAAACAAATGGGAGTGATTTTCCTTGGCTGAACTACAGAGCACAATATGGGTCAATATTTGAGGAGTACCAATGACATCTATCTTTATTACTCAATCGCACCTTGACTGCTAACCACAATACTAGATCTCTGTTATGTACACATTTTAAATATATTTTTATATAGTATTAGAAGTAATTATTAGGAAGTTATTTTAGTAAATGAGTTAGTGATAGAGGATTTTGTGGGTAGTTTCCTAAATGGTTACTAAGATAGTGGAGTCATGAATTGGGTTAGTTATTAAGGTTGTTTTTATTATCTTGTATTTAAAAGTTTTCCTGTCAATGTAAATGAGACGTTGAATATTGTATTGAACTTTCTTCTGAAAGTTTTGTAGATTTGATTCTTTTCGAATTGAGTCATTGGAATTTTTCATTCTCCTCGAAGCGGATTTTCTTTCTCGATTCTATTTTTTCTTTATTTTATAAATTACCCAAAATTGTGCACGTAACCGTTGGTATCAAAGTCGGCGATTCTATTAATGACTACTTCATCAAAGATTTTGAAGGTGATGCATGATGATTTTCAAAAAATGGTTCAACAAATTTATTGAGCAAAATCTACGCATGAAAGAGGGCTTCAACAAAGTTGGAGAAATTCCTCGAGAAGAAAAATCCAAAACCAGTAATGCTAAGGCTCGGCTAGCAACATATTGCGTTGAGGGAGATGTGCAGTTATGGTGTGAACTACCAAAGATAAACAAAGAGATGCCGACTTGTGACTTGTTCAAGAAAGAGTTGCAAGAACATGAGTTACTCATGTGGGAATTGTTTAAAGAATTGTTACAGTTTGGTCCAATCCAATTTATTCTTTATGAAGTAAAGTTTTAGTCTCAACTTGAAGCAAGGAAGTTGATTGATCACATCACTTGTTACAAGGCTATGGAATTTGGTTGCCGGCCGCTTTTTTGTATATGATGAATCAAATTTTGAGGACAAAGTTTGTTTCGAATGGGAATAGAATGTTATGTACACACTTTTAATATATTTTTGTATAATATTAGAGTAATTAATAGGAAGTTATTTTAGTAAGTGGATTTGTAATTGAGTATTTTGTGGGTAGTTTTCTAAATGGTTACTAACATTTTGGAGTCATAGTTTAGATAAGTTATTAAGGTTGTTTTTATTATCTTCTATTTAAAGATTTTTCTATCAATGTAAATGGGATGTTGAATATTGTATTGAACTTTCTTCTGAAAGTTTTGAAGATTCGTTTCTTCTCAAATTGAGCCATTAGAGATTTTCACCCCCTTCGAAGTGAGTTTTCTTTCTCGATTCTATTTTTTCTTTTCTTACAAATCACCCAAAATTGTGCACATAACAATTGGTATCAGAGCCGATGATCCTATTAATGATTACTTCATCGAAGATTTTGAAGGTGATGCATGATGATTTTCAAAAATGGTTTAACAAATTTATTGAGCAAAATCTACGCATGAAAGAAGGCTTCAACAAAGTTGGAGAAATCCTTCGAGAAGAAAAATCCAAAACCAGTAGTGCTAAGGCTCGGCTAGCAACATACTGCGTTGAGGGAGATGTGCAGTTACGGTGCCAACTACCAAATATAAACAAAGAGGTGCTCACTTGTGACTTGTTCAAGAAAGAGTTGCAAGAACATGAGTTGCTCAAGTGGGAATCGTTTAAAAAATTGTTACAGTTCGGTCCAATCCAATTTATCCTTTATGAAGTAAAGTTTAAGTCTCAACTTGAAGCAAGGAAGTTGATTGATCACATTACTTGTTACAAGGCTATGGAAGTTGGTTCGCCGCCTCTTTTTGTATATGATGAATCAAACTTTGAGGACAAAGTTTGTTTCGAAAGGAAATTGAATGCTATGTACACATTTTTAATATATTTTTATATAATATTAGAACTAATTATTAGGAAGTTATTTTAGGAAGTGGGTTAGTGATAGAGTATTTTGTGGGTAGTTTCCTAGATGGTTACTAATATAGTAGAGTCATGGGTTAGGTTAGTTATTAAAATTATTTTTATTATCTTGTATTTAAAGATTTTTTTATCAATGTAAATAGGATGTTGAATATTGTATTGAACTTTTTTTCTAGAAGTTTTGGAGATTCGTTTCTTATCGAATTGAGCCATTGGAGGTTTTCACCCCCCTCGAAGTGGGTTTTCTTCCTCGATTCTATATTTTTTTTTGTTTTACAAATCACCCAAAATCGTGCACATAACAATCTCATTATGTGGGNGTCATTGGAGGTTTTCACCCCCCTCGAAGCGGGTTTTCTTCCTCAATTCTATTGTTTTTTTGTTTTACAAATCACCCAAAATCGTGCACATAACAATCTCATTATGTGGGGAAGTTGTCCAATGAAAGGATATTAATATGAAACTTTGTATATTCAATAGACAAACGACCTATCATTGGATTTTTGGACATTAGATTACATAGTTAGCAAGACACCACTAGCAAACTCTTAGTTTAGTGGATATGGTACTTCAGAATCAATATGTAGCCTCCAGGATAGGTGATCATTGTGAAACTAACAATAAATCTTTCTCCAGAGAGATGCAGATTTTGCATGGGGTCTGGCAGTGTGACAGTAGAGCTTGGTGGGGGGGAGAAAGAAGTCTCACGATGCATCAACTGTGATGGTGTTGGTTCCTTAACGTGCACCACATGTCAAGGCACTGGCATTCAACCTCGGTACCTTGATCGCAGGTATGGAAACTAAAACAAATCAGAAATCAAATTTGGTGTTTTCTTCTAAACGTATCACTGCTATTTTAATGTACTCGCACTGGCTAGTGCTTCGAATTGATATAGGCACAACATGTAGAGATTTTATCTTAACTACTTTGCTTAACTGTCATTGCAGACTTAACGAACAATCAAAACTTCAAATGTTCTGAATTTTGATTCTAATCAACCCTGTTCTTTTGCTTTCTCTGGATGAATGAGTGTATTGATCAGCACATTTTTTTGTGTGTGTGTGTGTGTGAGAGAGAGAGCAGTCTGGTCTTTATTTCTGATGAGAGTTTGTGCTCTGTGTTGAGCAGAGAATTCAAAGATGATGACTAGAGCTTTTCAAAAGAAGCACGCCCGCTAATTCTGGAGTACTTGGTGTCTAATTGGCTCATATATTTTAAGGATCGAGGAGGGGCAAACTCATGTAGACGCCTTTCCATTTTTCTGCTTTATATTCTTTTTTCTTGTCGAGTTCAATTGTTTCTCAGTCGGCCAACTGATGTATGATTTCAACAAGTGATGTATCATTTTCTTTCCTGTTATAATTGATTGTGTATAGTCTGGCTGATGTGGATAATGTATTTGTGGATTTTCATTGGTTTCCTCCTAAATGACTCCCACAAAAAGGCTGCAGTGGTTTGCTTTGGTGGTTTGTGAAGAAGTCTGCTGCTGCTTCTAAACTCTACCAACATTATGGAAAGTTCAACAGGACAGCCCATCCTACAATTTTCCGTACGAACACCGACCAGTGCTTTCATCTATGTTCTCTGAATTAAATGCACCTGGTTTCATGTGATGATATGAGACTGGTTTCACTTCCTGTTGTATTTTTACTCATGGCCAGTGGATATATTGCATGTGCAAACATTCTGGATCAACATAAGGTGTCTGAGAATTATTGGGACATCTAAACTTCCTTAGAGTACTATGCCAATAATGGCAATTTGTTGGTTTTTAAATTTTAATCGAGAATCGAGATCAAAGCAAACAGTACAGCAGCTGATCGGGACCTGTCTAGACTTAATTGACTAGTCCTGAGACTTGATTGAAGACCAGGGTTGGGTAGGTCTCAGCTGCATAGGAATCATTGTAAACGCTTAATTTTGAACACGCATTGGATAAATTGAGACTTTTGTGTCTTTGTTGGTTGATAGGTGGACTATGGTCAGGGTGGAAAATGGTGTGGAAAGGAATCGGACCACCACCAATCGGGGAAAAAATAAGGAGGAAAGAGGAACCAAACAAAACAAAAGGAAAATTGGCAATTTTTGTAATTCTATATGGCCTGGGACAGAAGAAAAAGAAAAAAGTAAATGAAAAAACGTCGACAGCAGGGTTCGAACCTGCGCGGGCGCAGCCCAACAGATTTCAAGTCTGTCTCCTTAACCACTCGGACATATCGACTTTTGTGAAAGAGCAAGTTAAAAAAAGTAATCAAATATAATCAGAAGATAAATTTAAAGAGGATGGTACTTAAAAATCTGACTGCGGACATAATAATGCGATTTTAATAAAATTATTAGTCCGATGTTTATTGGGAATTTGACTGTAGACATAATGACGTTATTTTAATAGAATCATTGGTCCAATGTTTATTGGATTCAACGGTGAATTCAAGAGTTATAATGAATTAAATCCGATGGCATTGCTCGCGAAAGAAACGTTTTTAAGGTTTCTAGGGTTTAACGTGATCTCTGTTTCAAATCAAGCAAAGTCACTGGGGCTGGTCGGTCTTTGATCTTGGTCAAACCCGAATCATCAAATTGAAGAAAGCTTGAAACCTAGGGTTTTGAGATCAAAAAGGAAGAAGGAGATGTTGTATGTAATAGGTTTGGGTTTGGGAGACGAGAAAGACATTACTCTCAGAGGCCTGGAAGCAGTGAAGAAATGCGACAAGGTGTACATAGAAGCATACACTTCTCTCCTCTCTTTCGGCCTTTCTTCCGATGGCCTCTCCACTATGGTCGGTACTTCTCTTTCAACTTCATCACTGTTTCTCATCTTAGGAACTTCTTTAATTCACCCCATATAAATCTAACGTTTTTTTCTTCAACCTCCTCTTCATTGCTTTGATTACAAAAGCATTGTAAAGTTTGAATCTTGGGTGCTGGTGGTGTTGGGGAATCAATATTAAAGAACATGCCATCAAAACAACAATCCGTTAGTCTNCACAAAAAGGCTGCAGTGGTTTGGTTTGGTGGTTTGTGAAGAAGTCTGCTGCTGCTTCTAAACTCTACCAACATTATGGAAAGTTCAACAGGACAGCCCATCCTACAATTTTCCGTACGAACACCGACCAGTGCTTTCATCTATGTTCTCTGAATTAAATGCACCTGGTTTCATGTGATGATATGAGACTGGTTTCACTTCCTGTTGTATTTTTACTCATGGCCAGTGGATATATTGCATGTGCAAACATTCTGGATCAACATAAGGTGTCTGAGAATTATTGGGACATCTAAACTTCCTTAGAGTAGCTACTATGCCAATAATGGCAATTTGTTGGTTTTTAAATTTTAATCGAGAATCAAGATCAAAGCAAACAGTACAGCAGCTGATCGGGACCTGTCTAGACTTAATTGACTANTAGTCAATGTGGCTCTTTATTGCATAATAAATCAATTCCACTAAATGTATTACACCAACAGCCAAAACCATAGAACTACAGGCAGACTTATGAACTGAACGTTTATCCTAATTCCTAACTAATGTGATGCCTGCTTTATCACAATTTTTCTGAAATATAATGCAAATTTTCTGCGATCGAAAAAATAAAATTGAATATAAAGCAGGAAAGTGAAAACGACCCTTTGATTATAAAGCACCAATTAGTGAAACATGGATATCAAACCTTGTATGATGACTTAAATTATTCATAAACTGCATAACTCCGGCCAGGTGATTAACAAAGAGATTTACCTGCCACCGCCTAGGTGATTGATTATGCATCAAGACNTTTGTGAAAGAGCAAGTTAACAAAAGTAATCAAATATAATCAGAAGATAAATTTACGACCCCCCCTTAACTAAAGAGGAATATTATTCCTATTTAAAAATCTGCTGACGTAATTTTAATAGAATCATTAGTCCACTGTTTATTGGATTCTTATAATGAATTAAATCCGATGGCATTGCTCGCGAAAGAAACGTTTTCAAGGTTTCTAGGGTTTAACGTGATCTCTGTTTCAAATCAAGCAAAGTCACTGGGGCNGTAATTGAAATTGTACTAATGAAAGTTATTCGTACAATGATTACACAAACTACCGCGAATTAGAACTTGTTTAAAACCAAAATGCACACATCAAACTTTGTTTGCATGTTAAACCCTAANGATCTCTCCTGCTTTGACCTGAACTAGGACCTGTCTCTGGCGGGCACTTTCTTTTTCTCTCTGCTGTATTCTTGCTCATGTTTTTTGATGGAGAAGCATTTTCTTGCACAAATCTTGATGACAGAGTTTTAGGATGTGAATTTCCACTTTCTGGACATGGAATTAACCCTACAGAAGTCATTCCAATGCAATTGTTCAACTCTTCATAGTGGCTTGATTGGGCATATTTCCCGTCAGCCCCCGAATCCGCAAAAATAGTGCATAGTTGCTCNATAGTTTAAACAAAATAAATATGGAGAATTACACACGAGGTTTGTCACTTCATCATTCAGATTTTTATATTTAAAACATTACATATAAACCCTTTAAAATTTATACAAGCGTAACACTTGGACCTTGATATAAATATATACTTTAATAAATTATGCACAAATCTCCTCAAGTTTGTAAACATATTAGTTAAACTCCTTAAGCTTAAAATATTATACTTAGATAAAAAATATTTTAATTAAAGATAAAATATCAGATATTTTAAATTTTAAAATTAAAATTCATATTCTATTGTATTGTTTATTAAAAAAAAATCAAAAATCAATAATTAATTTTTTCTTAAAAAATCATAATTAGTATATAATTATATTGTCTAGTAGAATTTAATTTGGTCGTTTAAATATCAAACTACCCTAATTAAAGCTAAAAGATATTGTGTCCATTATAATTTGACCCCTTATTTAATTTTTTAGTTTTATACTAATAGATAGTATAATTATATACTAACTTTGATTTTTTTTTAAAAACTAGATTTTTATTTTTGATTTTATTTCAATAAATAACATAATAGAACATGAATTTTAGATGTAAAATTCATGTTCTATTATGAATGACTTAGACCCCTTGTTTGATTTTTTTAGTTTTATTTCAATAGATAATATAATTGTATATTAATTATATTTTTTAAGAAAGACTTAAATTTGTAGTTTTAATTTTATTTTAATAAATAATACAATAGAACATGAATTTTTGTTGTAAAATTTAAAATATTTGATATTTGATATTTTATTTTTGATTGGAATATTTTTAGTCTAACTATAATATTTTAAACTTAAGAGATCTAAGTATTATATATTTACAAACTTTAAGGAGGTATAAGTGTAATTTATTAAATGTAGACCTCTAATGGTCTATGTGTAATATTTTAAATATTAGGAGTCTGAATGATTAAATGAAAAATTTTAAAAGTCTATGTGTAATTCTCTCAAATAAATAACGCGTTTTAATAAGGGTTAATTTTGTAGTTTGATTTTAGAGGCGAGGAGTTATGTTTATACAATCCAACAATTTGGGTTGGGTTTGTTTTAATTTGTTTAATTTTTGTAATGAATTTATTTTGGTTAACTCATTCTGTAAGCAAATTAAATTCAAATAAGGTGTAACACGATTTGAGAATGCTCAGCTTAGATAGTTGGTAATTTAACAATAATTTTAATTTTATNTTAAATTCAAATAAGGTGTGACACGATTTGAGAATACTCAGCTTAGATAGTTGGTAATTTAACAATAATTTTAATTTTATTGTTAAACAATTTTATCCAAAAGTTTTATAATCCTAAATTTAACCTCAAATAACTACGGACTCTCCAAGTTTTGAAAATTAGAACTTCTAAGGCTTTATTTTATGGTTGATTGTATTGATTTTGTGGAATATATTTTGAGAAACTAATTTTTTAAAGATCAATTATTGAGTTACATAACTTTATTTTTGAAAACTATTATTGAAAAAATGAGCTCGTTTTTCAACTAGAATGATTATAAGATATTACTAAGTCGGGCTTAATCGAGAATTTAAAATTAGTGGCTAACTTTAATCATTTACAATTAAGTAGAACAAATAAGATGTGTAACTTGTGTATATAGTTCAAACCCCGCATTACATTAACAAATAGGAGTTGCCTTGAGGTTTTTAGGATATGATCATTGTGTTGGTAGAAATAAGTTGGGAATTGTTTTTAATCATGTACAAGTCAAGGATATATTTTTCTCCAAAAGATAAAAATTTGGTACATTGATATTGGTGAGAGAGATCAACAAAGAGATAAGGTCGGATTTGTTAGTGGATTCGATCAAAGATGGGTATAGAGTTAGAGTTTGTAGAAAGAAAAAAAAGATGAGATAGAAGAATGGAAGGTGTGAGAGGGGTGGTATGGAAAGTAAAGGTGTAATTTGGGTGGGTTAATCTAAATTTAGCTCTAACACAATTNAAGATAAATCAAATCAAACTACATAATTCACCTAACTGTATACATTTTGGAATATTTATTTATTGTTGCATTTGTGATTTGTACCTTGTGATGTCTCTTGGCATTTAGGAAGCTGTCTGTTGATTTTATTCTCTAGTATTGTTGCCATTGGATTAATTCACATTCAGCTCAACTGGATAATCTATCCAAAATAAATCCAAATACTGGCCAAATGACACGATACAATCAAAATCAATCACCACAAGGGTATTCGGTATCTTGGTTCCTGAAGAATTGCTGTTGGAGGTCGGGCGTCTTCACTAGTAGCTTCTCTGACTCGATGTCTTCTGGCTGGCCTCCTATGAAAATGGACACACACGAATCCGTGTCTTCGTAACCATAAAAAAAAGAATAAGACCTAATTTCTTCATGGTCACGGATTTGATTTACAGCAATCAGTACCTTCAGTGTAATACCTACAGATACATGAGGGCACCCTCCCACTCTGTGCTACTTCATCTTACCTTTACTAAAAACACATAATCCTTCTGGCTAAGCAAAACATTTTATACATGAGTATTAGAGTCATACTACGATCTGATCTACTAGAACAAAAATTATGCAGGTAAAGAATGATTTCTAAACTAGATAAGAAAACATAAAGAAGATGTCATTCCCCTAAATTATGAGGCGGCACAGCTACAATTTCCCTGTAACCATGTCAACCGTATATTGTTGTCCTTAAGGGAAAGGAACGTCTCCCTCAGATTAGGGTCCTCAAAGAGGTCCAAAGCAGCATAATAGATACGGTCATCAATGCCTTCTATCTCATCCAATGCCCTAATGCAATTAGTTATTGTGAATCTTTCATCACTCTGTGGCATTGTGACTGCCCGCAACCTTGAAGCAGCAACCATCTCTAACATGGCTTCTGACATAGCATCATTTATTTCTTGGTCTCTCCTGCTTTGACCTGAACTAGGGCCTGTCTCTGGCGGGCACTTTCTTTTTCTCTCTGCTGTATTCTTGCTTATGTTTTTTGATGGAGAAGCATTTTCTTGCACAAATCTTGATGACAGAGTTTTAGGATGTGAATTTCCACTTTCTGGACATGGAATTAACCCTACAGAAGTCATTCCAATGCAATTGTTCAACTCTTCATAGTGGCTTGATTGGGCATATTTCCCGTCAGCCCCCGAATCCGCAAAAATAGTGCATAGTTGCTCGTAAATAGGACAGTCCTTGACCTTGATTGTTTCAGGCTTAGGTTGCACCTGTAAGTGTAAAATGAACAGTAACTTATCAGCAAGAATAATTGTAAAAAGAACAAATTCCAAGAAGGGAAGAAATGTACCTCAATCTCTTCCCACAGATCAAACCCAATGCAACAAGAATCATCCATAGCAAAGTCATTTTGATCAAAAGAAGACTTCAGATTATAGTATCGCATACGCAGAACATCCAAGTGCTTCCTCAATTGGTTGTTGTTGAAGTTAAGATCCGTCTGTCTGTTGAATTCATTGCGTATGTGGTTCCATGTTTTCTTGTCAAAAATATTGTTTGGCCTGTTACCCAATTGAATCTGCTCAACTACAAGGTCTGCAAAGATCTTATCAAGAGTTGCGGTCCACCTCGTCCTTAATCGTTCTTGCTTGGGTTGATGTTCATTAGCTTCACAATCCATCTGCATTTTCAGAATGATGCATTTACATGCCAATCACCAGAACATCGAAGTCTCAAACATCTAAGAAGACTCCAAATTCTGAGATACCAAACTAGTGACAACCCAACCCCAATCTGAATCTCAACTCTTTTCAAACAAGACATTTACAAAGTTAGAAATATAACATTTTGACTTTTACACAAACACGCTAGAGATGATGCCAGATATCCAACTAAAGGATGACAATATGTCACCTCAAATGCCAAGTAGGTTTGAGAACGAGATGACATGTCATCAGGCTGAAATAATAAAGACACCAGGATGCTTAAACACTGATGAGTAAAATTGTAAGATTATGAATATATTTCACAAGGTTGGACAACACTTACGGGTATACAACAGCCCGAGTGATAAGTTATGGCCAAGAAGGTTAGGCATACCATGGGCTAAGACACTTATGAGATTGGCAGGAAACATGAGTCAAGTGATCAGGGAAGAAATATATTCATATAACATCAATTCCACACATACAGTACCTCATCCCCACCATACCTCACACAAGTCTGTTAGACTCACGGCACGACAATATAGAGGCGACAAGATGGAGATTCAGGTGAAAACTGGAACAAAGTCAATAGTGCCACATAAGTCTTATTATTTTTTACTATCAGCTTGCAATAAGAATTTGAGAATATGAATTTAAAATATTACTTAAAAACTCACTATAACAAACACGGTAATACACTTCATGTTCTAAATCAACAAAGAAAAAGGGTATGTGTTCTGTAAGCTAAACATATTTATAAATTTGGATATGGTCAATGTGGCTCTTTAGTGCATAATAAATCAATTCCACTAAATGTATTACACCAACAGCCAAAAACATAGAACTACAGGCAGACTTATGAACTGAACGTTTATCCTAATTCCTAACTAATGTGATGCCTGCTTTATCACAATTTTTCTGAAATATAATGCAAATTTTCTGCGATCGAAAAAATAAAATTGAATATAAAGCAGGAAAGTGAAAACGACCCTTTGATTATAAAGCACCAATTAGTGAAACATGGATATCAAACCTTGTATGATGACTTAAATTATTCATAAACTGCATAACTCCGGCCAGGTGATTAACAAAGAGATTTACCTGCCACCGCCTAGGTGATTGATTATGCATCAAGACTGTTGCCTATTTCATATACCTCTGTCACTGCTTAAAATCAATCACACAACAAGATTGCCAGAAAATACTCGAACTTTGTAATTGAAATTGTACTAATGAAAGTTATTCGTACAATGATTACACAAACTACCGCGAATTAAAACTTGTTTAAAACCAAAATGCACACATCAAACTTTGTTTGCATGTTAAACCCTAATGGAGTACAATTCTCCAAATGAGGACGCTTAATTACCAAGAAGAGCGAATAAGATGGAGTATTTATGCTGACGTGATACCTGATCGGAAAATATAAGAGAAATTCACCGGTGAATCGATAACACCGACGCGGAAGGCGAATGGGAGACGGAGCGGCCTCCTCCAAGTTGTGTTTATAGTTTAAACAAAATAAATATGGAGAATTAAACTACACCGAGGTTTATCACTTCATCATTCAGACTCTTATATTTAAAATATTACATATAAATTCTTTAAAGTTTATACACGCGTAACACTTGGATCTTGACGTAAATATATGCTTTAATAAATTATGCACAAATTTCCTGAAATTTATAAACATATTAGTTAAATTTCTTAAGTTTAAAATGTTATACTTAGACAAAAAATATTTCAATTAAAGATAAAATATCAGATATTTTAAATTTTAAAATTAAAATTCATATTCTATTGTATTGTTTATTAAAAAAATCAAAAATTAAAATTTAATTTTTTCTTAAAAAATCATAATTAGTATATAATTATATTGTCTATTGGAATTTAATTTGATCGTTTAAATATCAAATTACCCTAATTAAAGCTAAAAGATATTGTGTCTATTATAATTTGACCCCTTATTTAATTTTTTAGTTTTATACTAATAGATAGTATAATTATATACTAACTTTGATTTTTTTTTTAAAAACTAGATTTTTATTTTTAATTTTATTTCAATAAATAACATATTGGAACATGAATTTTAGATGTAAAATTCATGTTCTATTATAAATGACTTAGACCCCTTGTTTGATTTTTTTAGTTTTATTTCAATAGATAATATAATTGTATATTAATTATATTTTTTAAGAAAAACTTAAATTTGTAGTTTTAATTTTATTTTAATAAATAATACAATAGAACATGAATTTTTGTTGTAAAATTTAAAATATTTGATATTTTATTTTTGATTGGAGTATTTTTAGGCTAACTATAATATTTTAAACTTAAGAGATCTAAGTATTATATATTTACAAACTTTAAGGGGGTATAAGTGTAATTTATTAAATGTAGACTTCAAATGGTCTATGTGTAATATTTTAAATGTTAGGAGTCTGAATGATTAAATGAAAATTTTCAAAAGTCTACGTGTAATTCTCTCAAATAAATAACGCGTTTTAATAAGGGTTAATTTTGTAGTTTGATTTTGGAGACGAGGAGTTATGTTTATACAATCCAACAATTTGGGTTGGGTTTGTTTTAATTTGTTTAATTTTTGTAATGAATTTATTTTGGTTAACTCATTCTGTAAGCAAATCAAATTCAAATAAGGTGTAACACGATTTGAGAATGCTCAGCTTAGATAGGTGGTAATTTAACAATAATTTTAATTTTATTGTTAAACAATTTTATCCAAAAGTTTTATAATCCTAAATTTAACCTCAAATAACTATGGACTCTCCAAGTTTTGAAAATTAGAACTTCTAAGGCTTTATTTTATGGTTGATTGTATTGATTTTGTGGAATATATTTTGAGAAACGAATTTTTTAAAGATCAATTATTAAGTTACATAACTTTATTTTTGAAAACTATTATTGAAAAAATGAGCTCGTTTTTCAACTAGAATGATTATAAGATATTACTAAGTCGGGCTTAATCGAGAATTTAAAATTAGTGGCTAACTTTAATCATTTACAATTAAGTAGAACAAATAAGATGTGTAACTTGTGTATATAGTTCAAATAGGAGACGTGCCTTGAGGTTTTTAGGATATGATCATTGTGTTGGTAGAAATAAGTTGGGAATTGTTTTTAATCATGTACAAGTCAAGGATATATTTTTCTCCAAAAGATAAAAATTTGGTACATTGATATTGGTGAGAGAGATCAACAAAGAGATAAGGTCGGATTTGTTAGTGGNACATAGTTCAAACCCCGCATTACATTAACAAATAGGAGTTGCCTTGAGGTTTTTAGGATATGATCATTGTGTTGGTAGAAATAAGTTGGGAATTGTTTTTAATCATGTACAAGTCAAGGATATATTTTTCTCCAAAAGATAAAAATTTGGTACATTGATATTGGTGAGAGAGATCAACAAAGAGAAAAGGTCGGATTTGTTAGTGGATTCGATCAAAGATGGGTATAGAGTTAGAGTTTGTAGAAAGAAAAAAAAGATGAGATAGAAGAATGGAAGGTGTGAGAGGGGTGGTATGGAAAGTAAAGGTGTAATTTGGGTGGGTTAATCTAAATTTAGCTCTAACACAATTCAAAATTTTTAGTTAATACTTGAGCTAAGCTTGAACAAAAAAATTTTAATTTGAATTANACGGAAAGTAAATGTGTAATTTGGGTGGGTTAATCTAAATTTAGCTCTAACACAATTTAAAATTTTTAGTTAATATTTGAGTTAAGCTTGAACAAAAAAATTTTAATTCGAATTAAATTTAATCTCTAATTAATTCTCAAATCTTCTCAAATCAGGTCCCATCCCCAACCAATCTCTGACCCAATCTTTTGGAATGGATGACGAATCTCTAGGAAAGAGATGAAAAGTCACCTCTCATTTGGCTTGGACGGAAAGGACTGGCTAGCGATAAATTTGTGTAGTAGATTCTTTTCTCAACTCAACTCAATTGACAATAGGAAAAATGACCTTAAGGTCCAATGTGCAACTATTTAAAGCCCTCGGTAGTTATTATCTCTTCATCAGCCCCATATCTTTTGTTGGGGAGGGGTGGGGGGTAAGGGACTCTTCATTTCTCCTTATTTTGATTTTTGGTTTTTCAATTTTTGTTGGAGGCGAGGTGGGGCTGATGGTTCAGGGATGTTTGGTGGGGTAACGGCGACAGTGTGGTATGTTGGAGGGGTAGAGGAGACAATGGCTGACACTGGTTATGTAGATTTGTAGTGGTTTCTTGGTTTTTGTTGGGGTGGATTATATGAATTACACGGTTGTGTTTGAGGCAACATGGTGGCACGGGTGGGGAGGCTAGTGGTTGAAGGAGGGTTAACCGTGTTTACTGGTGGGGTAGAGGCAACGGTGTAGCGTGCGGGGTGGGAAGGGATGATGGTGGTGGTGGATAATGGTAACCGTGGTGGTGTTTTCTTAGTTTTCTTAGTTTTGGAAGGGTCACTTGTGACAATTACGATGTTGATTTCTTGGTATGACTTTTAGGATTTAATTTTTTTGAGTTCAATAGAGTCAAATTACTTTACCGATGCAAAATGTAAGAAATTCATAGGAAACAAAATGTGTAATTAGACATAGATGAGTACGAGTTGAATTGAACAATGAATAATTATAATCAATTATATGTCAAATATTTGGTGATACTTGTAATCAATGTGTAGGTCCCATACGTGTTTAAGCCACTTATCAAACATAAAATTGAANACGTAAGAAATTCATAGGAAACAAAATGTGTAATTAGACATAGATGAGTATGAGTTGAGTTGAACAATGAATAATTATAATCAATTATATGTCAAATATTTGGTGATGCTTGTAATCAATGTGTAGGTCCCATACGTGTTTAAGCCACTTATCAAACATAAAATTGAATATGGTCTCTTTGAATTCCATGTACAAATCCTATTGGGTTTGAAAGGATTTCCTAAAAGCAATTCAAAGAGACATGATAGACACTTATGCTTTGTATAGTATGATAGACACTTTGATGCATTTTAAATATTATAATTAGTAAAGAAAGAAAAATGAGAAAGATGAAAAATGTATGTTATTTACCATAATATCTATTAAAATATACGTATATCTTAAGAGAACGAAAGATTCTTCCCATTTCTATCACTAATAATTCTCCTTTTTTTATTGCTTCCATTTTTTTTTTTGGGAGGGGGAAAGGGGTAGAAAGACTTAAATCCTTATCTTCAAGAAGGTAAAATTTTTTTNAGGATGAAAAATGTATGTTATTTACCATAATATCTATTAAAATATGCATATATCTTAAGAGAACAAAAGATTCTTCCCATTTCTATCACTAATAATTCTCCTTTTTTTATTGCTTCCATTTTTTTTTTGGGAGGGGGAAAGGGGTAGAAAGACTTAAATCCTTATCTTCAAGAAGGTAAAATTTTTTTAAGAAAAAGAATATCATTGAACTAAAAACTCATCTGTGCTCGTTTTTTATTCTTTCCATTCACCTTACCGAACACACTATAAACACGTTGAGTATATAAGTAATTGAAATATTTTATAATTTTTTTTATTTAAAAAAAAAAGTAGTAATAACTTGAAAGACATTATTTCCATTACAAATTTAATTGAATTAGATCTATGAAGCACGGATATCGATAAAAGAACGATACGATACGGATACGGCGATACAACAAAGACTTAAATCCTTACCTTCAAGAAGGTAAAACTTTTTTAAGAAAAAAAATACCATTAAACCAAAGACTCATTTGTGCTCATTTTTTATTCTTTCCATTCACCTTACCAAACATACTATATAAAGACGTTGAGTATGTAAGTAACTGAAATATTTTATGATTTTTTTTTATTTAAAAAAAAAAGTAGTAATAANAGACTCATTTGTGCTCGTTTTTTATTCTTTCCATTCACCTTACCGAACACACTATAAAGACGTTGAGTATATAAGTAATTGAAATATTTTATAATTTTTTTTATTTAAATAAAAAAGTAGTAATAACTTGAAAGACATTATTTCCATTACAAATTTAATTAAATTAGATCTATGAAGCACGGATATCGATAAAAGAACGATATGATATGGATACGGCGATACAACAAAGACTTAAATCTTTACCTTCAAGAAGGTAAAACTTTTTTAAGAAAAGAAATACCATTAAACCAAAAACTTATTTGTGCTCGTTTTTTATTCTTTCCATTCACCTTACCAAACACACTATAAAGACGTTGAGTATATAAGTAACTGAAATATTTTATGATTTTTTTTTATTTAAAAAAAAAAGTAGTAATAACTTGAAAGACATTATTTCTATTACAAATTTAATTGAATTAGATCTATGAAGCACGAATATCGATACGAAAATGATACGATACGGATACGGCGATACGACAAAGTCTAAAAAAAAAGAATACGAGTATGTCCAAGATACGGCTATAATAAAATATATTTAATATTTTTATTATTTTCAAACAATTTAATACTTATATATTTTATTAGTTCTTTAATATATAATAAGAAAAATTAATATATTTTTTTAATTTCAAGAAAATATATATTGAATCGCTATAGTATATTCACATGATGAAATAACTAANATGGATACGGCGATACGACAAAGTCCAAAAAAATAGGATACGAGTATGTCCAAGATACGACTATAATAAAATATATTTAATATTTTTATTATTTTCAAACAGTTTAATACTTATATATTTTGTTAGTTCTTTAATATATAATAAGAAAAATTAATATATTTTTTTAGTTTCAAGAAAATATATATTGAATCGCTATAGTATATTCACATGATGAAATAACTAATTAAAGGAATAAAACTTAATATTTACCTAATATTTAGAAGTAATTTTTGCTAAGATAATAATGTAATAACTTTATTTTATGCTCTTTTGACATATAATTGTAGATAATACTTAAGAAACACTCATGTATCTTTTAAGTAATATGAATTTTTTGTTAATGTATTGTATGATATGTGAATTCGAAAAGAGATATTAAAAGTTTAACTCAAAAATTATATATGTTGTTCGATCACAAAGATATTCGGGAAGTATTTTAATATTTAATTATTATGGAATATGTAAAAGATATATCTAATACGTATACTTGAATATTCAATACGATATCAAATACGNTTTTATTCGATCACAAAAATATTCATGAAGTATCTTAATATTTAATTATTATCGAATATGTAAAAGATATATCTGATACATATACTTGAATATCCAATACGACATCAAATACGGATGAATCAATGTCAACAAAATATCCGTGTTTTACAGAATTAGATGCACAATGACCGACTCAAATTAGAAAGTTAGAAGGTTCNGTTCGATCACAAAGATATTCGGGAAGTATTTTAATATTTAATTATTATGGAATATGTAAAAGATATATCTAATACGTATACTTGAATATTCAATACGATATCAAATACGGATGAATCAATGTCAACAAAATATCCTTGTTTTACAGAATTAGATGCACAATGACCGACTCAAATTAGAAAGTTAGAAGGTTCTTAACTTAAACGGCATACATTGGAAATAATTAAATTTAGTCGAATATCTTTAGCATTTGTTTCTTTCTCTTTCCCCCACCCCGCCGCTCTCCCACCGACAGATAATTAATCACAATCAAAAATCACAATCACAATCACTCCGGGGCACGCCGGTGACCGGTTACACTACCTGTCTCACTTTACCAACAAAGCAATCAATATGAATGACACTTGCAAAGTACTCAACGTTACTCCGTCGCTGTCAAGATTCGTTCCTTCCCGCACAAATCTCACCCCAAGTGGCGAGTCCTAAGTTCTAAGACCAAAAATAGTGGAGAAAATATTTAATATAAAATTGATTCTAGATCATTATTATTATTACTAAATTGAAATTTAACAATATTTTTTAATAAAAACCCATCTATATAATAGAATAATTACTGAAAAATAACATGTGCTTAACAAAAAAATAATAATAATCAAAAGGGTTAAAATATTAAACCATGGTTGATTAATGAATTTTATCAAAAAATTAATGAAACTTTGTTGATTCATATTAATTTGATAAGTCTTTTGATATATTTTTGTAAAAATTATGGTATCTTCAAAGACGGCCTTTAAATTTTTGAAATTTTCACTATCACTTCTTATTAGATTAAAGGTCTTAATTAGAATATAATTTTATTAAATTATTCATGATATATTTTAAGAAAAACTTCATCTACACCTCTCTAGATAGACATATCTTCAATGTGACCCCACTATTTTATAAATTTTGTTACGTATTAAAATTCGCGCTGATTAAAATTCGTTTTTAATTGGTTAGAATTAAATTTTATTTAACTCATATTGAATTTTAATCGACTTGAAATTTGATATGTAAAAAAATATGAATTTTAATTAACTTAAATTTTAATACATAAAAAATAAATTTTAATTAACTTGAATCAAATTTTAATAAGTAAAAAAAAAAATCAATCGACTCGAATCAAATTTTAATCGACACTAACAGCTCAGGTTAAACTAAAATTGGTTCAAATTTTAATACATAAAAAATAAAATTTTAATAAGCTTAATATGTAAAAAAAAAAAAAATTTAATCAGCTTGAATCGAATTTTAATCGACTTAAATTAAACTAAAAAAAAGTTTCGGTGGTATTTTGGAGAATAAAGAAAGTGTCCTTAAAAATATGGTAAATTAGAAGAGGCATGGCTAAATTTTTTTTTTTTTATAAACTTAAAAACACTCATAACTACCACATAAAAAATATAAATAAATAAATTTATTTTATTCATTTGGTAGCTTTTAATTGGATGGGCAAATAACATGACGATAGTCCACGGTATTATCGAATATTTACCCTATGATCAATGTTTTGAGATCTAAAATGAGGATTTAATTTAGCATCTGAATTACATTAGTCGTAAATTTCAATATTATATAGAATACACCTTTAATGTAAAGAAAGTATTTAAGTTAATTTCAAATTAATTTTTTTTCTTTTTAAACGGATTAAATTAAATTAAATTATCATTTTCCTTTACACAAATATCCCGGTTAACAAACATGGCATTCTCGTCATTCCATCCGAACGCATAAACGTCAAGAAAACAGCTTCCAATAGTCGGTGCTCTGTGCTGTCAGTGAAGACCATTTCTCACCGAAGCTCAGCTTCTATCAAGAGCCAATACCAACGACAGAAGAGTATCTCTTACACGCATTGTCCTATAACCTTTCAAAAAAGTACTTAATTGTTTGTATAGAAACCCTAAGATTTTACCTCAAAGCAGAACTACAGATTCTGCTTCTTTATCAACACTGCTTAATTGAATGTTTTGGTTGATTAACTGTTCTATTGAGTTGGATCTGAGCTTTTACTGAGAAGTTGTTTTGCCTAGCTTCTGAAATGGAGGAGCGTAAGAGGTCGAAGGGGTGGTGTGGATGGTTACTTGTGGCGATAGTTGCTGCGACTGTCGCAGTTTCGATTTTCATACTTGTTAAGAAGAAAGGTCACCATTCCGACTCCGGAGCCGCCCCTGTTCCGGGTCCTCCCGGTGCCATCACCCAGAAATACGCCAATGCTCTCAAACTCGCAATGCAGTTCTTCGACGTTCAGAAATGTATGTTTCTCCCGTATTTTGTATCCAATATTGTTTTCCTGAGTAAGATCTACAATGTTTTATATGTTTGCTTCTTAGATCTACAAGTCATTAGCAGATTTGTGTGTTTCCTGAACTTAATTTAGTTTTTATTTGGTTTCATTAGTTTAAGCTGTTAATAATATGGAGTACTAATTGCAATTTACGCTTAATTTCTCATTTAATTCCTCCATACACTTCTAATTTACTACCAATATCTTATTCTGAACTACTTATGCGTCTACTTATATAGTGCGAAGTGTAAATTCGTTATTCGATATGATTTTAGAGCTTGAGATCTTGATCAGAAGGTAACTTGCGTCTTGATAGTTATGGAACATCAACAATATACTCGGTCATTTCTATCTTCTATCAGGCTATTCAAAATTTCAGGCATATGTGTTTTATACTACGCAATCAATGGGATATTTTGAGTTGAAACAAGTGGAATTAGTGGTGATCATTTCCGTCAATTTGGGACTTTACTACTTGGTTTTTTTATTTGAATAGCTTTGTTCGGTTGTTTTCAAATGATCTTTGTGGGCTTTTGACTCTGTACTTTCGAATGTTGCAGCTGGTAAGTTGGTAAATAATGAGATACCTTGGAGAGGGGATTCAGCTCTTAAGGATGGAAGCGAAGCAAACCTGGATCTCTCAAAAGGAATGTATGATGCTGGGGACCATATGAAGTTTGGGTTTCCAATGGCTTTTACTGCCACAGTGCTGTCATGGGCTATTCTTGAATATGGGGATCAAATGAAGGTGGTGAATCAGTTGGAACCTGCTCAAGACTCACTCAAGTGGATCACTGACTACCTTATCAATGCTCATCCTTCGGACAATGTGCTCTATATTCAGGTTACTCTAATCTTCAACACCAGTTGACTGTTTTGTCTCTTTTTTAGTAATGCTTTGTGTTTGTTCCTGTGCCACTCTTTCTGTTGCCACCAGTAAGGTCTTTTTTCTGTAAAAAGTGCCAATAGTCTTGAAAAAATTTCAAACAAGTACATTTTTATTTTATTAGTGTTTTGGGGGCAAAATTAAGAACTTCTGACAGGGTTTTAATATTTGTAGATCTTTAAAAAAAAAAATATTTGTAGATCTTTATAATGTTATTATACTCTGCCCTATATATATTCCAATATATACAGCTCATTCGAAGCTTCTGGCACCCCCTTTAGGGTCAGGCTTGCATGAGGTTCAAGTATTTTAATTTTATTATGCTTAATTTGGGTTAAAAGCATATGAAGAGTCTGTGAAATAGTGGACATATAACGTGAATGGTCTTTCTTTTGGAAGTTATATAGCAATTTTCTAGTTCTGGTATGAAGATTTTACACCTGAGAATTGTATATCCAGATCTCTCTAGTCTACCCCCCCATTTGAAAATTTTTACGTAGCTAAATAGGTAAATAAAATTGTTGCAATTGATGGTGATTGAAAGGCCTTTAAAATGTCTCTTTTCACAATTCCAATTTCTGGGCAGGTAGGTGACCCTGAAATAGACCATAAGTGTTGGGAGAGGCCCGAAGATATGACTGAGGAAAGGCCTCTCACACAGGTGAACACTTCTACCCCAGGAACTGAGGTTGCAGCAGAAACTGCTGCAGCTATGGCATCAGCATCCCTGGTGTTTAAATCTACTGACCCTGCATATTCAAGCTTGCTTCTTAAGCATGCTAAACAATTGTTTACTTTTGCTGACAAATATCGAGAATCATACAGTATCAGCATTCCCGAGGTCCAGAATTATTACAATTCAACAGGTTACGGAGATGAGCTCTTGTGGGCAGCTAGTTGGCTCTATTATGCATCAGGGGATCAATCATATCTTGATTATGTGACTGGGCAAAATGGAAAAGCCTTTGCTAACTGGGGAAGTCCAACTTGGTTCAGTTGGGATAACAAGCTAGCCGGAACTCAGGTATGAATTACTTCCCTGCAATTTGGATTTGAGCACTATTCTAATAATACTTGGTGTTAGTCCATGAGCTCATTGTCTTCCAATTTTCATTCAGCTACCTTTTATTAGATAATATATTGTCTTTTGTTTTCAATCATGGGGCTACAAGCAATTTCAATCTGTGAGCCCTTGAATTTATGTCATGAATCTTCCCTCAACAATTGATGGTGGAAGCTGTCATTACTACTAGGCATATGGTGGATTTAAGTTTTAAAGATAAGTTGATTAGAAAGAACATACTGCTCGTTTGTATTAGTAAAGCCTCTACTCTCATTTTGAATATAATAATCCTCATGAGCAAATGAGATGAGATGTTGTGCTCTCCTCTTTATTTATATCACACAAGTTCTTAATCGTATGTTTAAATTAAACCTGTGCTTTTCGATTTCTCGTTAAGAGTGAAAGTTGGTCTACTGGCTTGCTTTCCATCTTAATGATCCGAAAGTATAATTGCCAACAGGTTAATTTCTCTTACCTCGAGGTTTTTGATCAATAAAGTGGCTTATATTTGAGACCATAACTTTCAGTTTTTTAATTTACTTCATGACCATGCAAGTGAACTCTACTTCTGAACTTGGTTAATCAGTATGTTTGTTCGGCACAGGTTTTGTTGTCCAGAGTAACTTTTTTCGGTTCAAAAGACACCTCAAACTCAGATAGCCTCCAGAATTACAGGAAAACAGCTGTGGCTGTTATGTGTGGCCTCCTACCAAAATCCCCAACAACCACATCCAGCAGAACTGCTAGTAATCTCTCCTTCAGACTCTTCTTAACTTGGATGCTTATGCTTTATATGCTTTCCTTTTCTGTTCCTCCCTGTCCCTATAACCCTTGTCAGTTTGAGTAATGTAATTTCCCCCGTTGCATGTTTATCTCTTTGCAAATGCATTCAGACATACACCATACTGCACAGTATTGTTACTCCTACCGGAGTTGTGGACCTATCATGGGATGTTACCACCGAGAGTCATATGATAGGCTCCCATGTTCTTTGACTTTATCATCAGGGGCTTAGGTCTCGGTGATGGTCCTGCCTATGCCATCATTGAAACTCGCTTGCACTCTATATGATGTCTACCTGTTATATTTTGATTTCATTTATGAAAATGTACTAGTGTGTGTAATAGTCTCCTTTTTCAGTCCTACCTTATATCGGTCAACTGTATATTCAATTGATGGAACTTGTCATCCATTGCTATCGTGCATTTAATAGAATGACAGAAAAAAACCTTATTCTGGATTATAAGAAGCCTTCAAATTTTTTGAAATGTCTCAATTGATACCATTGGCTGATTTAGTCAACCTGAATATCTGATAAGTTATCTAATACATCTCAACACACAAGTGGACCATCAAAACTCAATTGCAATCTCCTTAAACTTTGCATTATCCCATGACATCGACAATAGTTAAAGAATTTATACAGCGAAGCTTTAACCTTGCGAGAGGTATGAACATTGAGATACCAGTTATATTTGAGTGTCTAACATGCCTAGAGGCCCTAGACTAAATTGATTAACTTTCCTTGGCATATTCTCATAGTTTGACTGACTAAACTCTTATTCTAGGGGCCGTTGTGTATGCCTTAGCATCAATCTTGTTGGTAAAAAATTAAATGAAGGTACAAATTTAGCATTTCCATTGATCACCTTCAGTCTGTTAACACAGGTGATCTGATATGGGTCAGTGAGTGGAATACTTTGCAGCATCCTGTGGCTTCCGCATTTTTAGCTGTTCTTTACAGTGATTACATGCTTACATCACAGACTGCCAAACTATCATGCAATGGACATTCATATAGACCATCAGATCTCCGGAATTTTGCCATGTCACAGGTACTTCTATCTTCATCAGAAGTGCAGATCATAGGCACCCCAATCAAAGAACCATCCAGATATACAATTTGCTCGCCTAACCTTAGTACTCTCCTTAATTCTTTTCCCCACTTCTTTTTCAGGCTGATTATGTTTTGGGTAACAATCCTATGAAGATGAGTTATCTTGTGGGTTATAGTAATAACTACCCAAAATACGTGCACCATAGAGGAGCCTCAATTCCAGCTGATGCAACGACAGGCTGCAGTGATGGTTTTATGTGGCTTAACTCAACTAAACCTAATCCCAATGTCGCGGTTGGAGCACTAGTTGGCGGACCATTTCTAAATGAAACGTATATTGATTCGCGGAACAATACAATGCAAGTGGAACCAACCACATACAACAGTGCTCTCATTGTTGGACTTCTTTCAGGTTTGGTTACCACCTCATCAGTGGTTCAATCTTTCACCTAAGCAGTCTCGGTTTGTAATTGATTGCATATTTTTCTTTTTTTTCGGTACATGATTGCATATTTTTTTTGTAACATATGAGTTGGATGTGGAATTTATATCAGAGTTCAAAGTTTCTTGTCTAAATAGTTTGCTTTACAAGAATGAATCACCCAGTTGTACCGCCGTTCTGTATATGACCATTTGTTAGTCAATCAAAATTTGAACATAAATTATAGTAAAACATTCCCAAAGAGTAAAAAATGATGGTTACATAAAAATCAAAACAACCTAAGTAGGACTACACACTTATCTCTCTCAAATTGCTTTAAGAGACAATTACATTCAACAAATAAACACCGACACAAGACACTAGCAATAAACCCTGTTTTATCCAGATTAGCTTCCAAATGTAAACTCAGGTCAAAAATTGAAAAGGAAGACAATTCAAACAAAGATCCAATCCACAGTGTACTAAAAGGGCTGTGGTGCTATAATTCCTCCATGGTTGCATACCTTAGAAAATGATTTGGCTGTAATGTACAAATGTTAATGGTCCGAGTTGATGTATTTATTGGGACGGGTCAACGAGCAATCTCTGACTTTGTTGTATGATCTAATTGTTGCTCCATTTCCCAACTCAGTTTAGGTTCAACAACTGAGTGCTTAGGNTTATTGGGACGGGTCAACGAGCAATCTCTGACTTTGTTGTATGATCTAATTGTTGCTCCATTTCCCAACTCAGTTTAGGTTCAACTACTGAGTGCTTAGGGACATATTCCTACATTACGAATAAATAAAAATGGTTGCTTAGATGACTAAACTGCATAGTCTAGTGANCAACTGAGTGCTTAGGAACATACTCCTACATTACGAATAAATAAAAATGGTTGCTTAGATGACTAAACTGCATAGTCTAGTGAATATTATATATATAATATAAATCAGGATATGCTTCAATAAATCTATCCAACGGTCTCAAATAAACTCATGTAATGACCATCAACATCTCTTTCAAAACCATTTACATTCAAATTTCTTCACTCTCAAATCCTTCACTTCTCATTTATGTTGCATCAGATACGAGTTACCCCTAGTGTGTGTATATATATATATATAGGTATGTAATTATGTACCTCAAGCTTGGACATGAGTTCTTGAGCAGTTGGGGCAGAGACAATGATATGCCGGGCAGAGGGTGCAATGAAACCTTCATCAACAGCTTTGTCTATGAAAGACAACAGTGAGTTGTAGTAACCATCTACATTCAACAAACCCACCTGTATTTATTATAAGGGGATTAGGGATATGCTCTTTCAGAAACATATGTTTGTCCATGGAAAAAATGGGAACTACAATATATATTTGCATTTCTTGTGGGTGTTTTTTTTCTTTTTTTGGATAACCGAGAACACTCTCTACTGGACCACCTATTTTTTGTATTTGTGNAGGGGATTAGGGATATGCTCTTTCAGAAACATATGTTTGTCCATGGAAAAAATGGGAACTACAATATATGTTTGCATTTCTTGTGGGTGTTTTTTTTTTTTTTTGGATAACCGAGAACACTCTCTACTGGACCACCTATTTTTTGTATTTGTGGTTGTAATTTAAACTCGAGATGCACGAAGTCATCCACAAAATCATGTATATTGGGTCAACTAAGGTGACGACTCTTTCGAGACTCAAACTTGGAACATAAGTAAGATCTTAGCATTCTCATCTAAACACTGCGTTCACATTTTGGTTCCACTGTGAACTGCAACCTCATACTTGATTGACCAAAACTAGCAGCCTATGTGTCCTAGAGCTCATATAAATCACTTATTCATTATTATATACAAAAATCCAGATAGTTACCGGTTTGTCATGAATTCCCAATTGAGCCCAAGTGATGACTTCCAAGAGTTCCTCAAGTGTTCCATATCCACCTGCACAAGAAATTAAGTACATTACCACCCATAATGTTATAGGATGGAGGGCCTTTGACTAAAAGGTATGGTTGGGTTTGAGTCGCAAAGACAGTTTATTTGTTTGTAGAAATAAGACCAGGTACATTTAACCCTTTTCAAATTTCACAATGACGAGTGAGAGTCTTGTACACCTTGAACACCCTTTTACCACTCATAATTTCCTAGCGGTTAGGAATGCTCTTTTGTAAATATTATTTCCATAGGGTACCAAAAAAAAAAAATTCAGTATTGTACAGTAATTTACGTTTTTTGTGAGTATTTTATCATTTTTTGTGATTACCGTTTTTACGACTTTTGAAGGTACACAATTTTATTTATCACAAAAGTGGGAAAAATATCCACAAAAATTATAAATCACTCACAAAAGTAATAAATTTTTTTATTATAAAAATACTCATAAAAACAACAAAAAGTGGAGATACAACGCTGAATTTTTTATTTTTTTTTTGATTACCCTAGTCTCCTCTAAGCAGAAAGCAAAAATAATCAGAAGCAATACCGGGCAAGGCTATAAACGCATCGGCCTGGCGAGCCATTTCTGCTTTTCTTTGGTGCATGTCAGAGACAGCTTGTACTTCTCCAACTGGCTCTCCAGTTATCTGAAATAGCAATTCGCATGGGTATTAATTCAATTGTTTTTTGCTACTAATTCCTAAATAAAACTTATTTTTCAGGACCAGAGAAAAAAATAATTAAAGAACAAACGTCCCAAACTCTGCCTGCTTCATGTCAATAAAGCCACTAAAGAGAATATACTAAAGTTTAAACTAGTAGTCCTAATCCACTAACTCATTCAAAGAATTAGAAAGAAAAAAAAAAGTTTAGTTTATGAGTTTTCGTTAGTATGATAGACACAACTTTATTCTATTTATGTAAAAAAATTATTTTTGTGACTCAAACTTATAATAGAGTGGTTTTATGATTACTTTAAAGTCACCCTTCTACAAACTTATCCAAACAACACATCCACAAATTCACTTGACCTCAGACATTTTACACATATCACCAAATTTTGAGAATATAGATGAACTGTATTTACCTCTCTGGGCATAAGTGTTTTGGGAATCACTCTGCAAGAAAAACAGGGTTACTGTAAGAGATAATTTTGTGGAGGGAGAGAGAGAGATCTGCAGAAATGGTTACCCTAACACGTGGCGGCCACCATCATGGACAGCTTGGGAGACAAGACCCATAAGGCCAATACTACCACCTCCATAAACCAAGTTGATGTTCCGTTCAACCTGCCAATTTTTTCATAATTCATTACTTACCAATACCATTGACACTTGACAGGCAATTGAAATTCAACCTAAACCCTTGTGAGAACACTTCAGGTTATTATTGCTGATCATTAAAGAAAGCCATTTTTACTGAAATATTAGTTTAATTACGTAAACAGTACAAGATTAATGGTAGAGTAGTTGAAATAGACAAAGAATACTTGGGTTATGAGACTTTCGAGTTCCTTTATATCTCATGCCCATGAGCTCTTTCAATCAGTTTACGACGAAAAAACCTTCAATTTCTTGGACATAAATGATCCAACAATCACAAGAACGTTAATACACCTTGTGATCAAACACCCAACCCATATATAACGTAGATTTATGGAAAGAGAAGACGGAAGAAGTAGTCTTGAAACAGAGCTCTCTGTTTTGTCTGGCTACCCATCACCCGGGACCGATTCGTATGTGTTTGTATTGCATGCCACAGAGAGAGAGAGAGAGAGAGAGAGAGAGAGAGAGAGAGAGAGAGAGAGAGAGAGAGATGGAGGTGCGTACCAGTTGGTTTCCGAGTTGAATGGCAGCAAGTTGGTAGCTTGGGTTTTTGCCGGGACTGCTGCCGCAGAAGACACAAACACGCTTGAATCTTGATTTCTTTGGAGGTTGTAGTTGCCTTTTCTTTTCCATAACTGGAACCACTGAACTACTACTGTTTTCGCTTCAATTGGAAGAGTTTGTTTGAGAGAGAGATAGAGAGAGGTAAAACGATTGTGCTGGTTGTGTGTGGATGTGAGAGGATGGTGTTATTTGTCCCTTTTTTATATGCGGATCAATCCCATTTTGTTCCTCTCCAAATGTCTGGCAAATTTTCCCCATCTATTCGCTTGGACTTGAAAAGTGAAATTGAAATTGAGAAGAGAAGTTGGTTTGTGTCACTTTCACTCTAAAGCAACAAAATGAAAGTGTGATCTTGCAAATCCTACGATAATTTAAGTGGTATTAGAAACGAATCGTAAATTCAGATATTTTAACTTATAATATTGCTAATTCTTTTAGATTAGATTATAAAAAATTTATCTTTCGTGAATACTCTAGTTTTGACGTAGATAAAATATTTTTAACTAAACTTGAACAAATATTAGATAGAATGCGCATAAATTAACCTGAATACCCTTAATTGTTAAACTAGAAAAAAAAAAGTGTGATATTGCTTGTCCAACACATTTTGATTTCTCTCCTCTCACTATAACATTGAAATTAAAATTGAAATTGAAATCGTAATCGTAATCGTAATCATAATCGAGTATTCTTCCTCTAGGGAACGTGAGTATTTGTCCTTTGGATAAGATTAAGGATGTGATTGGAAGAGTGAAGACAAATACGGGGACATGTCTCAGTTGCATCTTAAACAGGAGAGAGCATCAAACCTTTGATTCTCTTACTCATCCCTTTTCTTTGGATTGTCAGAAAAACATACAGTTTATTGTGAACTGCCTTCTCCAAACCAACGAGGAGTGGATCATCTCTCTCACTTATTGATTATAATAATGAGACGTATACTACCTTAGTGCACTACTTTATTAATACTACTTGATGTGTTATGATCATAACTTTTAAATATTTAATAAATTCATCGGAATCCATTACTCTTATGATTCATATTAATGTAGTGCACAAAGATGATGTGTATAGCATTGTTAGATTAATTATGATCAATACCTCAAAATTTTGGGGGAAAAAAAAAACAAACCATCTTGAGATTTAATTAATACTAGACACCTTGTATCACCTATTTGAAAAAGAGAATTAAGCAGTTAAATTGAATTAAAAAGGAAGTTAGGTGATTATTTGAGAAAAATTAAAAACAATAATTATNGTTATAGGATGGAGGGCCTTTGACTAAAAGGTATGGTTGGGTTTGAGTCGCAAAGACAGTCTATTTGTTTGTAGAAATAAGACTAGGGACATTTAACCTTTTTCAAATTTCACAATGACGAGTGAGAGTCTTGTACACCTGGAACACCCTTTTACCACTCATAATTTTCTAGCGGTTAGGAATGCTCTTTTGTAAATATTATTTCCATAGGGTACCAAAAAAAAAAAATTCAGTATTGTACAATAANTGCATTACTTTAGTCAACTAGAAAACGAAAACATTTCGACCTATTTTAAAATTAGAATAAAAATAAATAAATAAATAAGAATTATTTTTTTAAAATATTAGTCAAAATATATCAAAGCATATCGAAACNCATTTTTTGTGATAACCGTTTTTACCACTTTTGAAGGTACACAATTTTATTTATCACAAAAGTGAGAAAAATATCCACAAAAATTATAAATCACTCACAAAAGTAATAAATTTTTTTATTATAAAAATACCCATAAAAACAACAAAAAAGTGGAGATACAACGCTGAATTTTTTATTTTTTTTTTGATTACCCTAGTCTCCTCTAAGCAGAAAGCAAAAATAATCAGAAGCAATACCGGGCAAGGCTATAAACGCATCGGCCTGGCGAGCCATTTCTGCTTTTCTTTGGTGCATGTCAGAGACAGCTTGTACTTCTCCAACTGGCTCTCCAGTTATCTGAAATAGCNAATTTCGCCTCTTTCTGCCTCTCTCTACCTTTCCATGGATTGACCACAAAACTCTATCGATCCTTACCTCTCTCTGTCTCAAACTTCATCGATTGTGACTCTCGCCTCTCTCTGCCATCGATTTGCTCAGACCATCGCCTTTCTCTGTCTCTCTCAGATTTGCTTCAAAGTTTCAAATTTGTTACATCGATTTGCTGCTTCAGGTACATATGCTGCCTCTCCCTGCCTCTCATTGTATGCGTGTATGTAATGGGTTTAGTATTCTTTGGGTTTCCNAAAAAAAAATAATTAAAGAACAAACGTCCCAAACTCTGCCTGCTTCATGTCAATAAAGCCACTAAAGAGAATATACTATAGTTTAAACTAGTAGTCCTAATCCACTAACTCATTCAAAGAATTAGAAAGAAAAAAAAAGTTTAGTTTATGAGTTTTCGTTAGTACGATAGACACAACTTTATTCTATTTATGTGAAAAAATTATTTTTGTGACTCAAACTTATAATAGAGTGATTTTATGATTACTTTAAAGTCACCCTTCTACAAACTTATCCAAACAAGACATCCACAAATTCACTTGACCTCAGACATTTTACACATATCACCAAATTTTGAGAATATAGATGAACTGTATTTACCTCTCTGGGCATAAGTGTTTTGGGAATCACTCTGCAAGAAAAACAGGGTTACTGTAAGAGATAATTTTGTGGAGGGAGAGAGAGAGATCTGCAGAAATGGTTACCCTAACACGTGGCGGCCACCATCATGGACAGCTTGGGAGACAAGACCCATAAGGCCAATACTACCACCTCCATAAACCAAGTTGATGTTCCGTTCAACCTGCCAATTTTTTCATAATTCATTACTTACCAATACCATTGACACTTGACAGGCAATTGAAATTCAACCTAAACCCTTGTGAGAACACTTCAGGTTATTATTGCTGATCATTAAAGAAAGCCATTTTTACTGAAATATTAGTTTAATTACGTAAACAGTACAAGATTAATGGTAGAGTAGTTGAAATAGACAAAGAATACTTGGGTTATGAGACTTTCGAGTTCCTTTATATCTCATGCCCATGAGCTCTTTCAATCAGTTTACGACGAAAAAACCTTCAATTTCTTGGACATAAATGATCCAACAATCACAAGAACGTTAATACACCTTGTGATCAAACACCCAACTCATATATAACGTAGATTTATGGAAAGAGAAGACGGAAGAAGTAGTCTTGAAACAGAGCTCTCTGTTTTGTCTGGCTACCCATCACCCGGGACCGATTCGTATGTGTTTGTATTGCATGCCACAGAGAGAGAGAGAGAGAGAGAGAGAGAGAGAGAGAGAGAGAGAGAGAGAGAGAGAGATGGAGGTGCGTACCAGTTGGTTTCCGAGTTGAATGGCAGCAAGTTGGTAGCTTGGGTTTTTGCCGGGACTGCTGCCGCAGAAGACACAAACACGCTTGAATCTTGATTTCTTTGGAGGTTGTAGTTGCCTTTTCTTTTCCATAACTGGAACCACTGAACTACTACTGTTTTCGCTTCAATTGGAAGAGTTTGTTTGAGAGAGAGATAGAGAGAGGTAAAGCGATTGTGCTGGTTGTGTGTGGATGTGAGAGGATGGTGTTATTTGTCCCTTTTTTATATGCGGATCAATCCCATTTTGTTCCTCTCCAAATGTCTGGCAAATTTTCCCCATCTATTCGCTTGGACTTGAAAAGTGAAATTGAAATTGAGATGAGAAGTTGGTTTGTGTCACTTTCACTCTAAAGCAACAAAATGAAAGTGTGATCTTGCATAAATTTAGATATTTTAACTTATAATATTGCTAATTCTTTTAGATTAGATTATAAAAAATTTATCTCTCGTGAATGCTCTAGTTTTAATGTAGATAAAATATTTTTAACTAAACTTGAACAAATATTAGATAGAATGCGCGTAAATTAACCTGAATACCCTTAATTGTTAAACTAAAAAAAAAAAAGTGTGATATTGCTTGTCCAATACATTTTGATTTCTCTCCTCACTATAACATTGAAATTGAAATCGAAATCGAAATCAAAATCGTAATCGAGTATTCTTTCTCTAGGGGACGTGAGTATTTGTCCTTTGGATAAGATTAAGGATGTGATTGGAAGAGTGAAGACACATACGGGGATCGTAATTGAGTATTCTTTCTCTGGGGGACGTGAGTATTTGTCCTTTGGATAAGATTAAGGATGTGATTGGAAGAGTGAAGACACATACGGGGACATGTCTCAGTTGCATCTTAAACAGGAGAGAGCATCAAACCTTTGATTCTCGTACTCATCCCTTTTCTTTGGATTGTAAGAAAAACATATAGTTTATTGTGAACTGCCTTCTCCAAACCAACGAGGAGTGGATCATCTCTCTCACTTCTTGATTATAATAATGAGACGTATACTACCTTAGTGCACTACTTTATTAATACTACTTGATGTGTTATGACCATAACTTTTAAATATTTAATAAATTCATCGGAATCCATTACTCTTATGATGCATATTAATGTAGTGCACAAAGATGATGTAGAAAGGTGATGTGTATAGCATTGTTAGATTAATTATGATCAATACCTCAAAATTTTGGGGAAAAAAAAAAAACAAACCATCTTGAAATTTAATTAATACTAGACACCCTGTATCACCTATTTGAAAAAGAGAATTAAGCAGTTAAATTGAATTAAAAAGGAAGTTAGGTGATTATTTGAGAAAAATTAAAAACAATAATTATATTTTATGAGTGGAGTTAAAGAGAAAGTCATATTAGTTATTTGTAATCGATCATACTCTTTAAAATTGTAATTTATACTTTCAAAAAATTATAATTTGATGGTAAAATATAATAATTTTACACTATACATATTTTAATATCAAAGATCAAAATTTTGTTTCAGTGCATTACTTTAGTCAACTAGAAAACGAAAACATTTCGACCTATTTTAAAATTAGAATAAAAATAAATAAAAAAATAAGAATTATTTTTTTAAAATATTAGTCAAAATATATCAAAGCATATCGAAACATCTTAAAACATTTTGAAGAATAAATGTGTCGAAACATTACTGATCACCTCAAAAAATTATGAAAAACTTCGAAGTATTATAATTTTAATTTCATCACTAATTTGTTCCAATCTCTTTAAAAACGAAAATAATTTGATTGTTTTGAAACAAAATTTTAAACATTCTTTAGAGCATATCAAACAGGCTAGATAAACCCTCCCTTTAGCTATTTTAGATAGTTTTTCCTTAAAATGTGGTTTCTATAGGCCAGCTATTTGCCTATCCATTTCCCATTGCCCGCTTTTCACTCGATACATCTAGCTAGCCCACATCTCCCTCGCACCAGACTTTCGCCTCTTTCTGCCTCTCTCTACCTTTCCATGGATTGACCACAAAACTCTATCGATCCTTACCTCTCTCTGTCTCAAACTTCATCGATTGTGACTCTCGCCTCTCTCTGCCATCGATTTGCTCAGACCATCGCCTTTCTCTGTCTCTCTCAGATTTGCTTCAAAGTTTCAAATTTGTTACATCGATTTGCTGCTTCAGGTACATATGCTGCCTCTCCCTGCCTCTCATTGTATGCGTGTATGTAATGGGTTTAGTATTCTTTGGGTTTCCTACCCTTTTCTTGTAAAACTTTTGCCTCAGCTTATTTTAAATATTTTTTGATTCAATGTCTTTGCTTGAAGTGATCACAAAGGCTTCGGCCAATCCCAATCCAACCACTGTCAAATCACTCTACCCAATCATTCTCAACCCAAACCCAATTTTCCTAAACCTAAAGTCCTTACCCGATTCCTCAAACGACCCCTCACTCCCAAAATGACCCCTACTCGATTCATCAAAATTTTCAATTCATATTTAGCTACGGAATTTGATTTGTGCAGTCTTGCAACCCCAATTTTAAAATCATGGATGGTTTGAATAATTGTTTGTATTTGATATGGGGCATATATTTATATATTGATTGTTTGTGTAGATCTTGAATTCACTCCATGTCTTTGTTGATTTTTCTTGATTAGTATGATTGGAAGCATTGATTTTTTGCTGGATAATCATGGAATTTGGTTTGAATTGAATTAGGTTGATTTTGTTTAAAATTTTGATGACGTAGCGTAACACATCAGCATGTGATGTCATAATATGATGGTGACATGACATACTACATAGTATTTTAGATTTTATTATTTAAAATTAGTTGAAATAGTTAACTAAAATAAATAGTGTTATTTGAATGAATTTGAAAAAGTGATTAATTAAAGTATATAATATAATATTTAAATATATTTTAAATAATTATTTTAGATGATAGAGATGCGCTTAATACCGACATTTTTCAATGCCAGTTTGGTCAAAGATTCAAAGATGATTGAGACTTGATGGAAATGATAGAAAGGAAAGGTACCGACTTTCTTGCACCTAACTCTGTTTCCAATTTTTCAGTGAAAACCCAAACAAATGTACCGCGAACCATGGACACTGTCTTCCAGCCGCCACATGCTGACGAAAAGAGGATAAGGAGGATTTTCGGAACATTCCAACTTTATCTGACCTTTATGTGACGATATGCATAATGGAAGTTTCAAGGGATTTTGGAAAGTCTTCTTCCTTTTGATCTAAAGATCGGGACTACACCCTCTAAGATGAATGCTTATAATGTACTTTTAATATGAAAAATTAGAGTCTGCTTAAATATGAGTTTCAATTCCTTTGAATTTTATTCTTGCGAACGTGCTCCTCAGACGGGATATTTAATGCGTTAACTACAGAAAACAACAAACGATAATAAAAAATAATTATAATATTGTCTACATCGTCTTATTATTTGCTCAACTCTGATAAACTTGTCAAGAGTTCGAATTGTTCCACTTAAGTAGAACGAAAAGATGGACTTGAAAATTCAAAAAAAGAGAAGCCAAAAACTTTGCTTCTAGTAAAAGAACTCAAAATCTTTTTAAAAAAAAAAAAATTGATTCTATGAACTCTTTGGACTTTCGAATATACAATAAATTTTAATTTTAGTATATATTCAAATCTATTGAAATTGAAAATTCAAATCGGAAGACTCAATCAAAGTTGAATCTCAATGAATTTTATCAAATGGTTGTTCTATATTATTAATTACTCAATTTCATCACGTATTCCTATATACACAAAAATATTTAATGTTGGATCATGATCAAATCACATATCAAAATTCCTCTCAATTGCATAGCGGGCCTTATGGACTACGCTAGATCAAAATGTGTACATAAAAAATTATTTGCATAGTCTTTAACAAAACTTCTATAAGTGTTTTAAAAAAAATAAAGTTTTGAGTCAAAGTGATTACACCGCTTCTACAAACCTTTCTATTAAAAAACAATTCATCAAAGAGGAAAGAAACCAAGCAAACACTTCTTGAAACAAACCTTTTAATTGTTTTGGAGAAAGTAATAAAATATATTTTCATGTGGACAAGTGCTGTTAGTAGAATATTCAACGGTTCTTATCCAATTCTGGGTCGATGTCTTTACATTAATAAATTGGTTATTTTTCCATGAAGCAAGAGGCTTTGAAGCACTGCACAGCTGTAGGAAGCAGACTACCTACCCAATAAGGACACACTTAACGGTGGCATGCTACCCAGGATTTCAACTGGATAATTTGAGGTTGATGCACGTATCAAATGGAACAACAGAAGAGTGAGTACTTGTATATTGTTCTGTCTTCATTCTCGACATCACTGATNGTCCTTACCCGATTCCTCAAACGACCCCTCACTCCCAAAATGACCCCTACTCGATTCATCAAAATTTTCAATTCATATTTAGCTACGGAATTTGATTTGTGCAGTCTTGCAACCCCAATTTTAAAATCATGGATGGTTTGAATAATTGTTTGTATTTGATATGGGGCNGTTTTTTTTTTTTTTTTTTTGCAGTGATAGAAATCATCCCAACTGTACGTTCTTTACATTGAAGCATGTGAATATTACCCTAATATGACGGCAAGTTTAACTACTGAATGAATGAGACTACCAATCGTGACCTTGAAGGTGCCATTAAACGTGCATTTTTATGCGAACAGTGAAACCTAAACTAAAGATGCAGGAGTACTTCTTATTCAGACACTAAACAACTGGTACAGATTAGACACCACACCGCACACACTTGGCCAATTGTTCCATCTACAATTCTTCCTTTGACTACCCNTACATTACTTTAGTCAACTAGAAAACGAAAACATTTCGACCTATTTTAAAATTAGAATAAAAATAAATAAAAAAATAAGAATTATTTTTTTAAAATATTAGTCAAAATATATCAAAGCATATCGAAACATCTTAAAACATTTTGAAGAATAAATGTGTCGAAACATTACTGATCACCTCAAAAAATTATGAAAAACTTCGAAGTATTATAATTTTAATTTCATCACTAATTTGTTCCAATCTCTTTAAAAACAAAAATAATTTGTTTGTTTTGAAACAAAATTTTAAACATTCTTTAGAGCATATCAAACAGGCTAGATAAACCCTCCCTTTAGCTATTTTAGATAGTTTTTCCTTAAAATGTGGTTTCTATAGG